GAAAGGAAAGGAAAGGAAAGGAAAGGAAAGGAAAGGAAAGGAAAGGAAAGGAAAGGAAAACTGTAGCAAACAAATCAACTATCATCAACAAACAAACAATACCCCAATCAGAGTTTTTACCCTGAAAAGGGAGCAGAACAAGAGACTCCATAACTGGACCAGGAAATTTGCTACTGCTACGGATTTTATGTGCTAGACATTCAGATACTACAAGTAATGAGCAGCAGCATAAAACCCTACAATAAATAGACAGACAAAGAGTACTGTGCTAGACACTAACAATCATGGACTGAATAGAGACACTGGATTTATGGCTTATTACAACAAACTGTAGCCCACTATCCCCCCTTTTTGTCCTATGACTGCAGGTAGGGCCAGCTCCAGGCACCAGCTCAGCAAGCATGTGCTTGGGGCGGCCAATGGAGAGGGGCGTCACATCTGGCTCTTCAGCAGCAATTCCGCAGCGGGTCCCTCACTCCCTCTCAGAGCGAAGGACCTGCCGCCGAATTGCTGCCGAAGAATGAAACAGCAGCGGTAGAGCTGATCGCGATTGCGGTCTTTTTTTTTTTTTTCTGCTTGGGGCGGCAAAAACCCTGAAGCCGGCCCTGACTGCAGGGGTATTTACGGGCCACTTCACCTTAAATGGTCCCTCAGAATATGTGCTAACCACTTATGCTAAACTATCTGTTCAATCTTGTATTTAGCTGTGACACCCAGAGTACCTTTCCCAGACCTGAAGAAGAGTTTTGTGTGGCTCGAAAGCTTCTCTCTTTCACCACCAAAAGTCGGTCCAATAAAAGACGTCACCCATCTTGCTTCTCAAAGGGCACTTCAGGCAGTGTATGCTGCCCTGGATATAGACCTGGTATAATTTACTCCCTCCCTAGAGCAGTGGGGGAACCACAGTCTCTGTGAATCACAATCTCCCTCCCAAACTATTCTAAAGACAATACAACAAAGCGCTACCTTTACTCAGTGCAGATTTTTATCTCCATGTTTATAAAGCACTTTGAGATCTGTGGATGATGTGCAAATGTAACACCAACAGACCTCGGTCTGTCGTTGGAATTGAACCTGGGACCTCTGACACTTAGTGTATGAGCCTCTACTGCATGAGCTAAAAGCCACATGGCTCTTAGCCAAGGTTGTAGCAGACTCATCGATCTTTAGATGGGCTAGGTACCACTAGAGGAGGACACCACACCCCACCAAGCAGGCATGGGTACACAAACAAGGCAAATAAACTCTGGAGAACTTCCATCCTTTGAAGATATATTTCTGAAAGAAACTCCTCTGCCCATACCCAATATTAGAAAGTGAGCGCAGCAGTGCAAAATAAATGTATGCTGACTGATTTACTGATACTCTAGACTAAAGAGCTACAGTTCTTAGCTATCTGAATGAAAAACTGAATGGGCCTGACTCTGCTCTCATTTACTCCAGTGTACGTCAGGAGTCACTCCACTGAAGTCCATGGGCCAGATTATCTTTCTCATGAAGGCCCTTTACACCACTCTGTTGGTATACATTACACAAATAATGTACACACTGCCAAGTGGTGTGAAGGGGCCGTAGTGTAAAAGAGAATAAAGCCCAATGCAGTTACATAAGTGTAAAACTGGTATAAATGAGATTGGAATTCAGCCTTGTTCAACTTTGTTCTATCAAAGCTCACTCCCTCAACAAAATGCAGTGGGCCTATATAAGGAAAGGCTGCTTAGCAAGCCTTATATAAACCCTGTCAGTGGTATGTGTGGACAGGGTGACCTTGGAGAGTCATAGGTGTGGAAACTTTTGAGGTCTACCTAATCATTAATTCTAATGACCCTCACTCCAAAAAAAAAAAAGGTCCCCAGAATTTATTCAGTTCCTGAGTAGAATAGTCCAATAGTCCATAACCCACAAAACAAGCCAGGAACGCAAACTTGATTTTTCTGTTACTTCAATGGAGTTACACCAAATTACAACAGTTGAGGATCTGGCACATTATAATTTGTTCCTAAAGTTTCAATAGCAAGATGATGTCATGTCCAATTCAATGCCACATTTACTTAATATGAGTCCTATAAATGTTCATAAAAGGCTAAGTTGGGGTTCAAACTTCAGTGGCTGCAAGAGATAAGAAATCCACAAAGCATCCACTTAAGACTTGAAGAGACTGAGAGGGAAATTGAAGATATTGAGATTACAATCCTCAGAGGCAAAGCTATTCACATGAGAATACCATAGGCATTGACAGGAAAATTAACTCAGATAAGAAATATGAGATTGATGTGAGTCCCAGGAAACAAAGCCAAGAGAAATTGAGATATTTCTCCCACAGAGGATTAGGAAAATGATGGATAAAAAATGCTGACCACTTCTACAACTTTGACCTCTAAAATGCATGCTGTGGGTGAATGCATTGCTCCTTGGAAAGGGATAAATACCAGTTCATGGCATAAGAGAGACAAGGTAAGTGAAGTAATATTTTTTATTGGACCAACTTCTGTTGGTGGGAAAGACAAGTTCTTTAGCTACAAAGACCTCTTCTTCAGGTCTAGGAAAAGTACTCTGAGCATCACAGCTAAACAGAAGGTGGAACAGATTGTTTAGCATAGGTAGTTAGCACATGTTCTAAGTGACCATTCAAGGTAGAGTGGCTCACTAACAATGCTGCCGTCATTGGACAAAAAAGGCAGAGTTGGTGGATTACAGATTGTTGTAATAAACCATAAATCCAGTGTCTCTGTTTAGTCCATGATTTTTAGTGTCTAGTCGAGTTATGAATTGAAGCTCCCAGGCTCATCTTTTAAGTGTTATGCAGGTTTCCTTTGAGAATGAGGACTGATCGGTCAGATACAGAGCGATCATTTCATGAAAAGTGTTCACCACAGGAGATAGGTTGTTTTTGTCTTTTATCATTTTTCCTGTGTGAGTTCATTTGAGATAAAAGCTTTTATGCTCAGAGTACCTTTCTCTGACCTGAAGAAGAGCTCTGTGTAGCTCAAAAGCTTGTCCATCTCACCAAAAGAAGTTGGTCCAATAAAAGATATTACCTCACCCCCCATCTTCTCTCTCTGTAATATCCTGGGACCAATACAGCTACAACAACACTGCATACCCCATAGCATACACATAGATTGAGTGTGCTATTGTTGCTATGGTTGGTTCCAGCAGACAAAACTAAGTTGTGACATGGACAAGTGAATCTGAGTAGTTTAAGGATTCACAAATTGTATTCTGTCCAGCATGCAGTTCTGTATGGTATTCTGTCAGAGAAATTAGTCCTTTAGATACAGGGATTTCCAATATAAGAAACACAGAGAGCTGAACTGGTAAGTTTCTCCTAAGGGCAGTCATAAATTTGCTAATTCTAATGAAAACATGTAGTAAAGATTCAGCAATAACAAGGATAATGTAGTGTGAAGTTCTACTCAATGAAGCATTTTCTGGATATAAATTGCAGAGAAACATTTGCTAACGATCCCATTCTGGGTCACCAGTTTGCATTAACAAATTCAAGCAGGAATTTTCACCAAGAGATATAATCCAAGCTTCCTGTTTGTAATGAAATAAGTCAATATATTCTTAGAATATGTGACTGAGAAACATAAGGGAAAAATGCTAACCAAGATCCACACCAGAAAGAGAACTTTATTGAAATAACTGAAGTTGAGGTAGCAATAATGTGTATGTGAGGGGACCTGGATATTTCATACACTCCAAGATTTGCTTTGGTAGCTCTAGATAAATTCTTTTATCACAGCCCAAACACAAAATGATTCAGGTGTGCTATATTGACAGTGCCAAGTATTATTTTCAGACAAAAATTTTCAGATAGTTTCTCATTTTAAGAAATGGTAGGAATTTATGCTATCTATACATTATAGTATCTGAATTCAGCCTCGGAACACCTCTGTGTGGTAGGGAAGTATTATTGTCTCCATTGTAAAGATTGGAAAAGCGAGTGTGATGGGGCGTCCGTCCCATACTGGCCTATAAAGGGTTAAAGGAGCCGTAGGGAGGCTGTGTGAAAGGCAGCCAATAGGAGATGTCCATATAAGAATAGCTGCTGGGAAGGGCAGGTTCAGTTGCTCCCTGGAACTTGAGGCTCCTACCTTGCAGGAGGAGAAAAGCTAGCACCTTGGACAGAGCAGTGCTGGGCAGGACCAGGGGAGTGAGAGCCAGCTCCCGGCTGACTGCTGGCATGCTGAGGCCCTGAGATAAGGGCGGAGATGGTGCTGGGGCTGCGGGGAAGTGGTCCAGGGAAGTAGGCTGAGAGGTTGGAGGGGACGCAGAGCGTGGCTGCCATCTACAGGGTCTCTGGGCCGAGATCTGGAGTAGTAAGTGGGCCGGGTCCCCCTCTCACCCCCACAAGTCACTGAGGAAGTGGCTGGACCGTCGGACTGCAGTACATTCCCCCAGAAGGGGGGGGGAGCACAGAGTGTGGCACAGCCAGGGAGCTGTGTCATGAAGAGGATGTCGGGATTCTGGGAGTGACATGGGTCCTGGAGCAGACGTGATGGCGGCGAGACACCACCAGAATAGGCTGCACTGGCTAGCAGAGCTAATCGCCATGACAGCCAGCGGAGGCACCGCAGTGGTAAGTCGCACCCCGTCACAGCGAGGCACGGAGATTTTAAGTGACTTGACTAAGAAGTCTATGGCAGAGCTGGGAACCAATTCAACACTCCTGACTCTATTCCACATGACCCATCCTTCTGTCCTTTACAGCCCTTTGGAGTAATTATTTCTAATGGCTGGACAGGATTTCCCAGATATAGATTTTATGAAGGAAGAAATCCTATCTTTTACATGACACATAAAACCAAGGTACTGTCCACTTGTCGTTAGAGATAGCAACTTTTTGCAAGAGTTTACCTGGGTGTCTGACAAATTCCATCTATCTGAAGTTCCCCTGTCACTTCAGCTGATAAAATTATTTAATTATATTCTTGTCATTAAACTGTTGAGTGGCATTGATGTTACCTTTATAATGGATGCCGCATCCCCTTTCAACAGGTAGCTGTACTCTGATGAAGGGTAATGTGATCCCTGATGTATTTGTGTAATATTGAATTGGTAAAGCATATAGTTACTTATGAAAGAAATGCTCTCCCTGATATTAATTGTTATGACAACAACTACATTGGGAAATAGTCTACTTTAAGGCTGGATAAGGCTTGTGTTTATTACTTTAACAACTGAGTTGATGGACTTTATGGATCTCTGCTAAAAGTTTTGTCTGTTTTCTGCTGTTTGTGTATTGTGTATCCTCTTGTCAATAACTGATATAAAAATGCATTTGGCTAATAATATAATATTATTATTTGTACATATAGAGTGACTTTCATCCAAGTATCTCAAAGAGTTTTCAAAGATTGGCACCTATCATCTCCTTTTTACATGTGTAGTAACTGAAGCACAGAAAGGTTGAGTGATTCATACAAGGTCAAACAGGGGTAGAGTTGGGAATGCACCCCAGGTCTCTTGACTCCCAGTCCTCTGCTCTATCAGTCCACATTGCTTCCCTATGAACTTTACTGTCAAGACATGCTACCAACCATAGGAAATTTGCAAAATATTTTGATTTTTTGACTGCCAGAGATGTGTGGTTGAACACACATCCTAGGGGATGTTTGACAGGATTTATATTTTCTCACATATTTTTAAATCATGCCCAAATCCCAGACATGAACTATACAGGAGTGAATTTTCAAAGGCATAAAAGGTGTATCTTGGTGATCCTGTATCCACAACCTCTACAAGAAGTTCCCTTTATTTGTGCCTGTACCAGAAATATGAAAGTCAATATTATCAATAGGCACTGCATCAACCAAACTACTGATTAGTCAAGCTATATTTAAACTGATGACATGACTGAGACTTGACACTAATTTCAGCTTTTACCTATGCGTTCCCCACTTAAGGGGCTAATAATTTTTCTTCCCTGTTTTCAGTTGTTCCTAAGGGAAAATATCAGCTCATTGTTACCTTAGTGAAGGCTCGGTAGCATAAGCCACACAGTTCTACCAGGTAGGCCAGAGTGAAGACAGCATTCTGAATGACAAAGCTTAATAATTTTGAAAATGGCTCAAGAAGACTCTGCAATGAAATATGATTTTAGGGAAATCAATAACTGAATCATTCAGCAAAATAAATGACATTCAAGTTCTGAAAAGCTCTAATGGAACAGAACCTTTATTTTTAACTCAGAGGATAAGTTGCTGTGGTATACCCCATTTCAGACAAAAGGTTGTTCTGACATATGTCTTCATGTTTATAAAACAAATTAGAAGGAACAGAAAACAGAATTTAATCCAGTGCTTACTGGTAGTGCTTTAATCCAGTGCTTACTTGATACCAGTGCTTACTGGTAGTGCTTACAAAAACTAAACTCCCATTGACCTCAACAGGAATTGCACTAGTAAGTGGACTGCAGGATCAGACTCTGGGGAAGTTGATCATTACAGTTGTTTTAGAAAAACATCAAACCTTTAGGAAGCTATACATTCGCGTGCACACATTCATGTAACCTAGATTCCAAAGCTCCTGTCATTCACTATAGAATACTAGACTGTAAATTTTCATGCTCACATATAATACTTCTCTAGCTAAGGGATAAGGAACAAATGTGTAATACAGTGAAGGATGGAGAACTCTGTTGGAGAAGAGTTGTGTATTTCTGGAACTTACCCGGGTGGCACTAGTGGTAGGTATCTTCAACAGGCAAATCATTATTCTTAAACTGGAATCTAAAGAACACTGTGGAAAGAGAAAAGTTAGTGTCTTCCTCTGCACCCCTCTTGTTTTTAATGGTGACAGATGTCAACATGCAATAGGTGAAGTCAAAAACCCATCACTTCTAAATTATCTTTAACAGGATGCTGCCAATATAAATATCATAGACTGCATTGTCCCCTCCAGCAGTAAAGCCTACGGAGAAGGAAATCTCAGTAAGGCTTGGCTTGCCGTGTTCACTCCAAATTGCTGTCAAGGATGCTGACGTTACCCTCTGCAGAACAGAAAATGCCCAACTTTTCTAGTCCAACAGAATTTGGTTCATATGGGAACATGTTCCTGGCAGATTAACAGGAGCCTAGTGTCCTATGTTTCTGTAGCTAGTCTGGGCCCCAGTGTCTCTCTCCGCTCTTCTTCAGCTCTGTGTAGCTCAAAAGCTTGCCTCTCTCACCAACAGAAATTGGTCCAATAAAAGATATTACCTCACCCACCATGTTTCTCTAATATCTTGGAACCAACATGGCTACAACAAAAGAAGATATATTGAATGGTGTCTTACTGCCCGAGTGGTGTTTTTCAATGGGACCGCTCGTGGAGTAACTTGTTATTCAGTATGAGTAAATGTATCAGAATCTGGCCCTTAAACACTGATGCAAAACCTATGGAAGTCAATGGAGAGAGTTGCACTGACTTCAGTGGACTCTGAATGAGGCCTTTGGAACTTTGTTTACTGGAAAATAGGGCATCTGTGCAGGCCCCATGAGTGTTCACAGCTCAGAACCCAGAGCCGCTGAACTCGGCCTCTACAACTATATCTTGATTAGGTTCCTCTGATGGGATTATAACCTGGTCAGTCAAGCAGGATGTGTTCAACTTCTGCTGTCTGAAGGCCTCTCTGCCTGACTGGCTATTATGTATTTATTAATATTAAGGAATTATTTAGAGGTAGCCTTTCTTCCTATGCGATTTAATTCTTCTTAAGGAGGTAACAGTGAATGAACTTTTTATTGCCAAGAATGTTGATTATCTAATTTATTGTCCTAATCTGACAAAGAGAGGACATAGAAGGTGAGAAGGAGAAAAATATTCCCACCCCAGCCATAGTTATGGTGGCTACTAAATGGAGGGTATAGACAGAGGGACGGATCAGGCACTTTAGTAAACCTGATCTACTGGAAATGTTAGGTAATTTACAACAAAATATTACAAATTATGCTCTGTTTATATACAACTTTCAAACAGTTTGCACATGCCTTAGCCAATAATAGCATAGCCCTTGTGTCAGATGTTTTGGTTGATCACTTACAAATTACCCTTATAAATAAAAAACTTCATTACATACATCATACCTTAAGTGGCAAAACACAAGGCAGCTTGGTAAAGAAAGTCTGAAACTGGTTACTAATAGTGGTCCAGAGGTTACTAGGAGAATCCATTGGCAAAGCTTCCATAAATGTAGCAATGTTTTCCAAACAACGTAGCATTGCGCCCCCTGCTGGCAAGTTCTTTTTGTTGTTTAAACCCTAGAAAACAAAATGCAGAATTTGAAAACAAATTAAACATCAGAAAATTACCATCTAAACAATATTTTAAAACACGCTTACAATAGCCAAGGTCAGACTAACAGTGCAATTTCCATCTTCTCCCACAAATAATTTAAAGTACATTGCTTCTCTACAGAATCTACCGCTGATAAAGTACGAGGCAGACTATCAACAGTGATAGTGGTAAGGAAAAAATTAGAGCAGCATATATTTTCAGAATCAGCTTTAGGCAACTGAAAGATGCATCCATTAAGAACCAGCCACCAGCACTTCTCTGGCCCAGCAAACCATGTGTGACGAATTGTCTTGTACATACCTATCATTTTCCTATATTGGAAGGAATGCTAGACTTCTGCAAGTGTTGATCAGACTGCAATTGTTTTAGTCTCTAGTGGGTGAGCTGAAAAGATGTAAGCACTGCTAAAGTATCATCAAAAGCTTTGCTTATAGGGCTACTATTGGAAGAAAAAGAAGCACTAACCAGGTTCCTGTTAGTGCTGAAAGATATGTTAGGGTGACTATCAGTGTAGAAGTGAGACTTGAGGTAGAGACAAGCTAAGTTGGGAGGAGAAGCAGAAAGGAATAAGCAGAGGGACTAGACTTTAACCTCGAGGGATTCCACAGAGGAGGATTGCAGAGAGGGAATTGCCATTAGATACAGAGGAGAAATGGTTTTACAGGCAGCAACAGAACTATGACAAGAACCATGAACAGAAATGGAGACAGTGCAGGAGAATGAAATGGCCTGCAGCATCAAGAAGGGAGAACCCAATAGCTGGCAGGAGAAGTCAGAGCAAGACTCTGACTGAAAACGATGGAGGATATTATGGTTTGATTCTGCTTCCATGTAAGTCAATGCAAAAATTCTCATTGCCTTTAATGGCATAGGATCAACAGGACGGAAAGATATATTTGGTAGTACCTAATATAGTCAGCCTTATTGTGAACATACCTCTAATAGTTGGCTCAGTGCAGCTACGGAGCTCAGCTCACTGAAGTCCATAAGAGATGTAGCCAGGGTCCGTAAAAAACTTCCATCTGGAAATCAGAACCACATCTTTTTAATAAGTGTTGGAATGCTTGAGATGATAGATGGTGGAAGAAATGCACTCAGGCATTGCACATTACCTTTGATATTGCTCTGGAACAGCTGTGGAAAAATACCATTGGGAGCCAGCTGATGGAAAATGCAACGGAGAAATTGCTTAGCCACACCGGCAGCATTACCAGGGATCATCATGCTGAAATGAAGGAAAAAAGAGGGATAAATTCCATAGTAGATGAAAAATATTTCCCAAAGCTGAAAATTGGAGAAGGTAAAGAAGATACTATTCTTTCTAGTAACAGATAAAGACAAATTCAGTTATGAATACAAGAAGATGGTGATAATAACAACTCATGGCTCTTATAAAGCACTTTTCATTAGTAGACCACAAAGGAGGCCAGGATCATTACCCGCATTTTACAGATAGGGAAACTGAGGCATAAGGAGGTAAAGTGACTTGCCAAGATCACCGAGCAGGCTAGTGGCAGAGCTAGGAATAGAACACAGGCCTTCTGAGTCCTTCTGAGTGCTCTAGGAAAGGTCCTGATCCAGAAAACCATGTAATCACAGGCTTAATTTGCATGACTTCAGCAGGATTATTCACATGATTTAATTTAAGCAAGTGTTGAAGTGCTGTGGCTTGATTCTGACCTCAATAGTTAATTTAAATTTTTCCTGATTCTCTACGTAGTGTTAAGAATGTTTTTGCCATTGAGTCTTCAGCATTTGAAGCCCAATCCTGCTATCACTGAAGTCAATGGCACAACTCTCACTGATTTCAGGGATGCAGAATCAGCTTCCTGGAGAACTTCCACATTTGGATGCAAGCTCCCATAAAGCTCATTCATTTACTCCTCTCTAGCACCTCCCAGCCAAAGATTTCAAAGCACTTTCCAATCATTAATGAATTAAGCAGCACAACCTTTTTACAATTTCCAAAAATGAATGCAGCCCATGTGATGTCCCCGTAGAAGGACAGTGGTCTATTTGCATGATGGGACATCACCAGTAGGTGTTCTTCACAATTAAGGATGACTGACTTACGCTATGTCTACATTACTGCGGTAAGTTGACCTACGTTACTCAACTCCAGCTACGTTAGTAATGTAGCTGGAGTTGACGTAGCTTATGTCGACTTACTGCGGTGTCTACACAGCGCTGGGTCGATGGGACCCACTCTCCCATTGACTAACCTTACTCTTCTTGTCCGGGGTGGAGTACTGGGATTGACTGGAGAGTGATCTGCGGTCAATTTGGTGGGTCTTCGACCCCTGGTGCATCGATCGACAGTCATTGATATGGTGGTAGTGTAGATATAGCCTTAGTTAAATGCATACAGATGAAAACCCTTTCCAGGGCCATACATTTTATTCACCAGCATAATGGGAAAACCACACATATAATGAGCCATGGGAATGAGCTAAAAGGTGTGGAGTGAAATCCAGGATCCATAAAATCAATGGGAGTTTTGTCACTGACACTACGGGGCCCAGGATTTCATCCCTGATCCAGTATGAATTTTTCCAAAGTTCAAGGAGGTTTGGATCTGGGCTTTTTGGTCCAGGACCATCGCTAGAAAACATGAGATCTTTGTACCCATGTAAAAAAGCACAGGATTTGATCCTTTGTTTATACATCTAGCACACTTTTGGGGGGGGAAGTGAGGGGTTACTGTACCTTTCTGCTTGATTAGAAAAACAGGTACTTGACGCCAACCTGGAGTAAACAGCAGAAAACAGCAAATCAAACAAAAGTACTGTTCATAATATTTTTTAATCAAGCCAATAAAATTACCAGTAAATAAAATTTAGTAAGTAGACGTTTTGGAGAACATGTTTTAAAGGTCACAAGAGACCCTTTGATCAGATGCACAGGGGACTCTTAAATTCATTTTTGTAAAGGGTAAAAGTCAAAGTCAAAGTCAGTCTTGCAATATTGTCATAAATATTTGCCAGCTCAGACAAATTCTACTTGCCCTCCCTTATCACCATAATGATAATGAAAGTATCTTGTATTCATACATCAAGAACAATCACTCACCTGGGCAATTTGGAGAGCAGAAATTTGCAGAGATGGCGTAGGAACTTATGCTGACTGAAATCAACAGGAGTTAGGCCCCTAAGGTGCTTTTGAAAATCCCATTAGGCATCTATCTGCATCTTTAGGCTCCCAAATACTTTTGACAATCTAGCCCTACGTCACTTTAGTGCTTTGAAAATTTTACCCTAGATCTTGAGTCTCCTGACTCCAAGTCCTCTGATCTAAACATCAGACAACACTATCTTCTCTAAGCAGTAAAAGAGTAAATAATTTACTTGTGATGCACGGGCATAAATATCATCTGTGTTAATAGACTGGATATAAGGGAGCAATGTACAAAAATAACTTCAGGGGGAAAAAAAGTTTACTAGGAACGTAAGAGCAAGTACACTGAGGCCACCTGAATGTGTTCATCCCCATATCTCAGGGGTTCTCAAACTGGGGGTCGGGACCCCTCAGGGGGTTGCGAGGATATTACATGGGGGGTTGCGAGCTGTCAGCCTCCACCCCAAACCCCGCTTTGCCTCCAGCATTTATAATGGTGTTAAATATATTTAAAAGTGTTTTTAATTTATAAGGAGGGGTCGCACTCAGAGGCTTGCTATGTGAAAGGGCTCATCAGTACAAAAGTTTAAGAACCACTGCCATATCTACTTCTAGGGGAGTATGCCTTGTTCTACATCTATTCAAAGCAATTCCTTCACGGGCCTGTAACTGCACCTTGATGAGTAAAAAATGGTGGTGACCAGGACTGAATGCTAGGAAATGACAAAGTACATTCACCATATTGGAATGCCCCAGGTTCTTTACCACCTGCTTCACTAATGGACTCATATGTCTCACTGAGGATGCAGTATTTCCACTTCAGAGAGGAAAATGTACCATGTCCCACCCACACTTTGATAACTAATCTTCAGGAGCTTAATTGTTCATGGCTTCTCACTGGCCCTATTAGTGCTGTATTTATGAGTAACAAGTAGGATGGATGGCATCAGTCTAGATTGGAAACTCTACCTCCTCCGGAGTTCATTAACATTGACAGCAGGGAACTGCAGCCTCAGAGTTAATGGAAATGGAGGGCTTGATTCTCCACTATCTTCAAGTGGAGTTCAGACATGGTGGAGAGGGAGGGCTGCAGGGAGGCAGTTGCAGTTTCAGAATCCTTGACCACCAAGCCCCTGCATAAATTAAAGCTGTAGGGGAGTAGCTTTAATTTAAACCACAGAGATAAGGTTCCTCAGGGGTCTTATGCCAATGGAGAATCAGGTATAAGAGAGCTCTGCTTCACCACCACAACAGCCTATCCTGCTTAGGCACCACTCCCTGACAAACACCTTCCTTCCCTCTTTTGCTGGGGGTTGAGAGAGCGGTTGGCACAGAAGCCATCTCCACCAGCTTTCTGCTCGCACAGCCTTTCACCGCCACAGGGAGCTGCCAGAGCCATTCCCTGACACAGGGAAAGGCTCTGGCAACTCCCTGTGATAAGGGAAGGCCCCAGTAGCAGGGGGAAGCATAAGGGAAAAACTCTGGCAGCATAAGGATGCAGGGACTAGAACCCAGGTCCAAAGAGCCTGAGAGAACTGACATTCCCACTGTGCCAGAGCCCCAGCCAGGGAACGCTGCGGAGAGTTGGGCCCATAAGAAGTACTACCCAAGGGAGCCAGAGTGACAATATCTTGTGGCCCTCTGATTGGCCAACCACCCTATTTAGCCCTGGAGGGTGCCCCAGAAAGCTATCTGAGCAACAGCACAGACTTTGGGCCTGCTGTGATTCCAGACCTCTCCTGATCTCCAGCCTCTGATGCCAGCCTGATCCCAATTCCTACTTCCCAATTCCAGCCAGGTACTAACTCTGATTTCCAGTCTCCGACCCTGGCCTGATTTTGACCCTGACTCTTGCTTATTGAACCCAGCTCTAACAATTCCTTGACCCTTGCTCACTGACTGTGTGGACTCCAGCCCAGCTGTGACCACCTACCCAGACCACCTATGCCCTGATCCCTGACATGCAATTCCCTGTGGCAGGGAAAGACCCCAGCAGCTTCCTGCTGCCAGAGCCTTTCACTACCCGTAACTACAGCCTTTCACTGTAGTTACAAAACTCAGTGTGGACACAGCCTGCTTTGCACTCAGCAGTAGCTACATGTACCCTACATCCCACTGCCAGTGGCATGCAATGTAGACATGCCTTTAGACAACTCTCTATGTCCTGAATCACTTACACTTCTCAGTATAGCTCTGCGGGGTGTTGTTGTTGTTTAATTTTAACATTTTTAAAGCCTTTGGGTATAAACTTTCTTCCATCTGTTATCCCGGCAGAGTATATGCCATGGAGGTTCTCATCTCTGAATTACGTGTGATTGGAAATAGTGGAATTTATCATGCTCTACTTCACCTTCATTTTGGGCTGCCATTTTTCAGCTATAGAGCAATGACCAGAAAAAATAAAAAAAAAAGATACCACCTCAAATCCACCATACCACCACATAGGGCCTGATATACTAGATTGGTGCACAGAGCACTGTCCCCTTCCTCTAGAGCAGTGGTTCCCAAACTGAGGTTCGTGAACCCCTGGGGGTTTGTGAAATGTTACAGGGGGTTCTTGGGGGAAAATTCCCCAATGGCAGACAGAGCTGTCCCTAGGGATTCCGGGCAGCACGGGGCCAGCAGCCCAGAGCCCCTGGACTTCCAAGAGCTAAGCAGATCAAAGTAAGCATATCTATCACACTGAGGAGATTTAAACTGCAAGAGTCCTTATAAGAAATGGAAAGGGAGGTGGATATTTTTTGCTGTTTTTTAAAATTAAATAGGCAGCTAGTATTGTTTTTAAAATTATTATGACAAACAAGTTTAAGCTTTGTTGTAACGTGCATTGTTTGCCTGAACTGCTCAAGACCTGAATGCTTGTGTAGGAGGAACTCTTTGAGTTGGCTTCTTAAATACCTTCATGCTGTTTCACACCTGATACTCGATGAAACATAGGAGCCTTGTCTTATAACAGGCTTATTCAAAGTGATACAAGCTACGAAAGTGAGATCTTGGAAGAGTGTTGCCGTTTTCATAATGTAATAAAAATACTGTAATGATAAATAATAATTAATAATAAATAGTGTGTAATAAGCATGTTATAAAAACAAATTTTATATTTCCAAGATCACTGCTTTTATAATTTATACTCAGGTAAAGGAGAAAATCCCTGGAAACATTCATTTTTAGGAGGGGTTTTGTGAGACTTGACATTTTGGTGAAAGGGGTTCACCGGTTGTTAAAGTTTGGGAACCACTGCTCTAGAGCCAAGATCCGTCTACCTTTTGAGTTATCTGATATGCCATCAGGACATCCCTTTCAGTTCTCCTAGGGAACTCATCACAATTCAAGGGCACAAAAATCTTCCTTCCCTCATAAAAGAGAGAGAAAGAGAGAGGTCCAACGGTTACCTTCCTACAGACTGCATGATGTCCAACAACAAAGGAGCAGCCAAATCTGGGCTTAGGTGAATGAATGTGGAGAGAACAACTATGGCCAGACCTAGTGTTTCTTCATCATACTCTTCGAGGATAGCCCCACAATCATGGCATCTGCAAGGAAAGTTATTAAAAGCTATTACTTGTTCAATTAATTAGGAGAATCCATGTTACATTGAACATTTTATGGCTAAGAAAATAGATCACTGTGCTTTAAACCCTGTATACAAAACACTTTTCACTAGCTCCATCAACAGGCAATGTTGATCTGTGGCAGGTGGTCAGTTACTCCAATCTGTGCTTTGCGTTGATCAACAATAAAGCAATAATCTGATGAGATGAGATTACAGCTGTGGTTATAGACTTGCAAGAGGAAATGATAGGATTTTTATGTGGGGAGGAGGCCAAGGAAGATTCCCTTTGTTTTTAGAGATGTCTCTTTCTGTTCCAAACCAGTTTTGCTGTTGAATTGCGGCCCCCTCCTGCAATGCTGAGAGACAACTCTGAAAGCTCTGCAATAGCTTTGTAACATCTAATCATAAGGGAGATGTCAGCTGCAGGAGAGATAAGGCAGGGTTTTAAAACCACATAAAAAGATAAACAAACCTGGGAAACTGGTACATCTCAGCCCAATAGGGAGGCTTGGTTAATTAGATCAACCAGTAGCTAATGACTCCAACAGATTGATATTTTAACTTAATGGGATTCTACAAGCAATTTCCCTCCCTTTGTATCTCAACAGGAGGAGAAGATGCTAGCAAGGTTATGAAAATCAATCTCGTCTGGTTTGGCATCTGATGCCAAAGCTTTTGGAAAAAGGCCAAAGAAGATGCATGAAATGAGCCCACTTCTTGGAATGTTTAGCATTTACACAACATAACTTCCAGTTCCACTGAAGACTCACACAACAGCCTTGCCCTTCTCTAGTAAGCATCTTGGCAGTTCATCTAGTGGCTAGAGCACAGGATTGAAAGCCACAACTCTGGGGTTCTACTCCCAGTTCTGCCTTTGAATCAGTGGGTGGCTTTAAGCCAGCTACTTCACTGCTTCTCCGTAAAACGAGTACCATCATATTTAATTACAGTGCCTCAATGGGATTTTGATCAAAGAATTAATGTTGGTAAAAGGTGTTGGGGATCCTTGTAGAGGAAAAGCATATAAGTGCAAAATAGCAGTAGTGGAGGTAACAGTAGTATTCAAGGTGCTGATTTACAGTCATGGCTTTACATTGCAATGGAAAAGCCATAGCGATTCAAAAACATGATAACTTTCATTTTAGGGAGAAAAACTAGAGTTTTCAGTGGATTACAATGAGCCCTTACAGTAAAAAACAGAGAAAGCTCAATTGCAGAATTAAAGTCTTGTTAATTGTGGATACAGTATTATTTCATCCATTTACATGACCAAATGTAATAAAAGTCCCTTCCTAGATCAAATCCATAGAAACAAAATGAGTCACGCAGGCAATGTGTAGATTCACATCCATCTTAGGTTAAGGCAAGGGTTTTGAGTTTGATTAAGGCCAAACAAATAAAAACCACTCCCAGTTTCAAGGCAAAAAGCTTTTAGAACCAGCCAAGTCCCAAAACTTGCTTACAGAAAATTCTACCCAATCAAGAGATTAAGTGGAGCAGAAGAATTAGTGAATTCCCTGATCACTACCATAGAAACTCTAATACTTGAATACCTCCTCCCATCCCACTATCCACACAGATGGCAATGGTTCTCAGAAACCTCCTCATGATGTCAGCTTTTCTCACAAGATTTCTTTGTTTGGATCTTTTCCAAATCAGATCTCCTTCAGGCATTGGTTCCGACTCAGATCCAAAACCATTGCGGTGAATTCGTATCCAAGGGTTTGGAGTGCAGGTCCTAGTCCAGGCCTATCTCTATATCATTAAAAAAGCCCCTTTAAAGTAAGATCTCCTTTTTCCCAAAAGTCTTTATTCTGTTTATGGTCCTTTAAAACTGGAGGAGTTCCGTGCAACAGGTACCATGGGTTTGATCTTACTTGTACCAGTTTTACACTGGTGTAACAACTTTGCCATTAATAGCATTAATTCTGATTTTCACCAGGGGTAAGTGAGAAGAGAATCAGGCTACACACCTTTCTCTAAATACAGTACAATGCAAACTGTCAACACTCAAATAATAAAACAGTACTACTACTAATACTCCTAGCCACACCACTTTGCACACACATTCTCATGTCCCAGTATATTTACAGCACACCCGATTTGCAACATTTTGAAAATTTTCCCTTGCTACAAAAAATTATGCTGCTTAGGAGAAAATTTGAGAATGTTCTTTCACTGAGTCAGGGCCCATCCAAATATGTTCTGAAGCTCAGTGGTTTTTAACTACCAAATTATTTGAAAGAAATAGAAACTGGCTTACTTGTCAGTCATCATAGTAGGTTGGTCATCGGTAAATTCTTCTGGGGCTGGTACAAACATACTGACTATACTGGGTGCTGACAGTAAGCTGGATTTGGTGGCACCTTGAAGCCATTAAAAGAAAAGAAGCATGGTAAATGGAAATCTGGAATGGACATAGGTGAACAAAAAAAGCTTTTGCAGTGTATGTAAATAAAAATTTCTCTCTGGAGAAAGCTACAACACATTCTTTGCTTCTGTCAAATTACTCCAATTACTTGTGCTTATTTTATTTTTCAAAGGTCAGGAATTATTTTAAAAATTGAGATCCTAAGGAAGTAAATGAAACAAATTCAAGGTGGTATGACTGCTTCAGTGTTCAGTTGTCAAGTTTTTATCCCCTCATTCTTTAGGGAGAGTGGATGGTCCTGTAGTTAGTATGAGACTGGGTGTTAGGAACTTTGGATTCTTCCCCAGCTCTGCCCCAGAATTTCTGTGTGACCTTGCGGGAGGAAGTCACTTAACATCCTCTTTGCCTCGGTCACCCCATCTGTGAAATGGAGATGATAATGCCTCGCAATGATGTTGAGGCTTAATTCATCAAGATTTGAAAAGGCTTAGAGATCATTGGATGGAAGGTGATTTAGAAGTGCCAAGTATTATTAGTGTTATTTTCAGTTAGAAAACTTTTAAAGGCAAGCTATACCGATGAGGCGGAACTGACCACCTACAGACCTGGTCATAGAGGAATACAAATAGTGCAGTCACATGTGGCTCTCCCTTGCCCAGGGGGCACTTCTTCTGTGCCCAAATCGTGGGAGATGGGATGGGGAGCAGATTCTTGGTTTAACAGGAAGGGTTGAAGGTAGTAGGTACCTCATACGACAGGTATTGAATAGGTGGAATATCCTGGAAGACAGGACTCTTGGATTGATGTTATAGGACACCATGTCTCTGAAACAACTAACTTGTTCTCCAGAATCACAGCTTTCTTTCTTTCTTTTTATTTTTAAAGGTAAGTCTTTTTTTATTGTAATTATTATTTTTTATTTTTTTTTAAAGGTAATTCTCTAGATGTTATGGTTGTGAAAAAAACCTCTGGAACAATAGCACAGAGAGGTGTGAACTGCCCCATTCATCTCAATGAAGTGTTAATGCAAGTGCCCTTTGATGATATTTTAATGTCAACATTGATAATTATTTCTTTTCTCAGGTAAGAAAGAAGAGGAAAGGTCATAGATCTGCACAACCTACTATCAAGTAATGTCTCATTTTGATGCCACAAATGAGTGGCATTTGTGGGACAGCACTACTTTCCCCTCCCCCCCCCCAGTTAATTAAGACCCACTGAGAAGAGCTGAACTCAAGGAACCAAGTGGAACTCATATTATAGATGTGATCACACCTGCATGGTCCACTCTGAGTGGCATCTCGTTTTGAAGTTGCACATGGGTGGAGTTCATTTTGTGGTTACAGCTTGGAAGAATACCAATGTCTTTTTCCCTCCAGTTTGACCCTTGCAGATATGGAAGGGCTGGAGGGTGATTGAAGAAGCCAGCAAGAAAACAAACAGCAATCTGAAGGCCTCACAGCTAGTGTTGAAATTAGTCTATTGTAATCCTCATCACGGGTTAAAGAAACAAGAGGTGGATTGTCTGACTAATCCTGGTACAAATGGAGTTGCTTTTGATACAGTCCCAATAGCTGCTGTTGCAAAGGCCAACTCAGACCAAATGATCTATATGAGATTCCATTCTAGACTGATAGGGAGGGTGCTGAGTGCTGCTTTAATGAAAATAGAAGTGTCAAAAAATTGTTCTGCTGAGTTTGGAAGGAAACATAATTCTTTTCTATACAAACTAAGACCCTATCCTATATGTTGAGTAATGGTCCCTTTGAGATTGCACTGGATGCAGCAGACAGTTTAGAAAGTCTTGAGGACTCTTCAGTGATATAGGAAACCATCGAGAATGCAAGAAATAAGAGTTTGTTAGCTAGTCTTTGCTTCATAAACTGATTCACTTTACCTTCCCTTTTATCATCATGCTGGAAGCTTAACTGATGCCATCTCTAGCTACAGGTTACAGTATAGCATGCAAATGCTGGATGTTGACATAACCATGGCTACATAACTGGGAGTAAGGCTAAGCTGCTAATAATAAGAACACTTGTGCTGATCTTGTGGTGAAAAGTGAGAGAGAATGTGATTCAAGCTAGAGAAAGGCTAGTTTGTGGTGCCATTAAAAAGCTGTAAGGAAGGCTGAGCAGTTTGGATGTCAGGAATGAGTGTTTGAATAGCTAAGAAATGGGGACTTGGTAACACAGAGAATGGGGCATACAGTCTTTCACTTCCAAGTCATCAGTTAAGTCCAGACGAGCTAGATACTGACAGGAAGTCATTACCATCCATCAACTATCCATGTCCTGTGTGAAATGAATTGGTGGTGTCACTCTAGTTGAACAGAACACAAAGCCACAATCACAACAGGTACTAACTGGCAACCTTGCTGGTAGTCTCCGCAGAGAGACCAAGTTTGAATGGACGTGGACACTGAACTAACCTCTTATTCTTAGTGGTGGTCCCTCCAGGTCAGGGTTTAGGCAAACTGAGACATTGCACGGCCGCTTCCCATGCTGTATCTGTTCTGTGGATAAATAGAAGACTTCAGACTGTGGTACTGTTAATGCAGCGCCTCTCGCCAGCACCACAAATTCACTCCAACAATTAAAACACCACCATCACCACACACATACACAACAGCTGGAAAACAGAGGGTTAAATCTCTGAGCATGAAGAGAGAAAAGAAAAGAAGGTAAAAGATAGTTCCATAGAAGAAGCAAGAACCAGATTTAGCAATATTAAAGGAGGCCTTTTAGGATACCTCAAAGTCAAGGTCTTTTGATAAGAAATACAGGGCTAATTGCAAGGATTCAGCAAGAAATGGATATGTAAAGAGTCACAGAAAGAGTAAAAGGTAATGCTTAGGGACACTGAGGGATCAGTAGTTCATGGACATGCTTGTGCTGGCATAGGATAGACACACAATGAGTTTATTTTTCAGAGAAAGAGTTTGGGACAGAGCAGTTTGAAATGAGAGATGAAGAAAGAGAGGCATGGTACCCAGTTTAGCTGGACTGATGTAGAAAATATAAAGCAGCCACAAAATGATGTGAAGCTAGGGATTGTAAAAGTTCCCTGGAAAAATTGAGTTGGTGTCTCAAGCCCCTGGAGGAAGTGACTAGAAGTGAGGTCTTTTGGAGAGAAAGGTGACAGATGTTGAAAAGAATGCTAGTGGATTCCCAACAAGAACATTAAGATGGAGCTCCTCAAAGATATAGTGATTAGAATATTGACTTGCCCACTTGGAAGACAGGTTCAATAGGTCACGTAAGAGGTAAATGATAAACTATATCGTTCTGAAATACTAAATGGGAAAACCAGGTTATTGTATAAGTTATGCTAACTGAAGTTTCTGTGTGAGATAAACTTACTTGATATGTCAGAAGGCTACCATGGACCCGCTACCAATGACAAATTCTGTGCTTGATGATGTGGGGAAGGTTAGGAAGGGAAACTGACAATCCACCTCATTCTGAGGATGGATGTCACAGAGAAGTCATGCCTCAGAGTCACAAATGTAATGGGACTGATGGGACTTAAAAGTGAAAACTGAATTAAGCACAATTTTTGAGACCAATCTCCCCACTAACTTGGCAGTGGGGACGTTCAACCAAGTGCTACATTCCAGGTCAACCTTTTACAGTTCTTTCCCTCCCTCTTGTCACCTCCTGGTTTGCTAGTGAAATTCTAGGAAGCATCATTCTATTACGTCACAATGAAACATATGCCAGAATTCATCATTCTGTGACAAATTCAATGAACTATAGAAGATTTCACACAAGAGTAAAAGAATGAAAAGAAGAGGTTAAAAGTTTTTTCAGGTGGTTAGTGGGGACATTCTGTACTTAATTCAGTTTTCATTGTCTGCTTCGCATTTCACTCTTAATGAGAAACATGGAAACCCAGTATGAATTACTGAGCGGAAACCCCATGAGTTCTGCATGAGCTGGCAAAAGACTCCCAAGCGTCTGCCGATGGGGAAGTGAGAGTTTCCTTGGCATAAGGTTTAAATGCCTGATGTCTCAATATGATTGTAAAAAAAAAAAAGGTTTGTCTTTATAAAAATGATTCACACACAGTGGGTGAAATCCTGGCCCTGCTGAAGTCAGTGGCAATACTCAATTTGATCTCAATACGCCAGAATCTCACCTAGCTGTATACAAAACGGTAATGGCCATTATTTCAAAAGAAAAATATCCCACTACAATGGAGCCATGCCGATTCACACCAGCAGAGAATCTGGTATAATTCCACTGTAGACCTGAGCTTGGTTACTTTTCTCCAATGGAAGAACGGTAATGGCTCACTTATATTCACAACAATTGATCACCACAGAAAGAGACACTAACTGGTTTAAGGGAATGGAAATAAAGAATAGAGAAGCATAACTTACCAGTGTCCCAAGTGCTGATATTATGGGGTGCACTAGATTGGTGTTCCAGCTGTCTCTTCATTAGCTGGTTCATTGTCAGAGCTCCCAGGGAGCCCCTTTTCATCTGTCTGAACTGAGCTGCAAATCAGAATTTGAAAAGAGTTCAGAGAATCACACAAGCTGCTCTTATTCCCCCGATTTTGTCCATCAGCATGAAGGAGGTACTGATATCATCCACAAAGACCAGCTGCTTGGCTCTCAGAATTTTATTCAAAGTAATCTGCTCTATTCACATAGTTGTACATGGTGAAATTCTGGCCCCACTTCAGTCCATGGCAAAAATCCTGTGGATTTCAGTGAAACCAGGATTTCATGCATAGTGTCTATCAATTCCTTGGCCTGTAATCTTTATTCTAAAATACAGTGAAACGTGTTCAAGACACCACCTTTATTAGACATCCCTAAAGCTTAAGAAACCACCCTAAAGTATCGCCAGACATCAAGTTAGACTGTGACTAGTCCATGTGTGGACATGCTGGGGGAGGGGACATCAGGATTGATTCTGGGGAGGATGTCTTCCCCAACAATCCCCTTTCATTTGCACATGCCATTCTAGAGTTAGTAGAATAACAGTCTCTGCACTTGGGAAAGAATGAGCACTGCTCCTTCTAGGCACCCCTAGGAAAAGAAAGTGGGTAAGGATCATGACCTTGTGCCCCACCCCCAGCACTGGCCTGCAGAGTGCAAGACACATTATGTGACTGGGGCATGCTGCAGTTTCACTGAACACCCTGCCACTCAGGGAGGGATTGCATCTCTCTCCGAAGCTCCCCAGGGGTGGGGTGACTCCATACCACCTTCTAGACAGGCCAGCATCTAAATAGCACAAAATGGCCCTTTTGTCCCCTCCACTATTATTAGAAGACCTCGTCCTTTAAGTAGCCAACTTCTGCTGGTCCATCAGGTTGCCAATTTCTCTACTTGTTAACCTACACTGCTGTATATTTTATTGAAAATGACTAGCTGACAATACTCCCTGAATAAACCATAACATAACCAGAAATTAAGACCAGTATTGTAATATATTTCCCTAATACTCAAATGGACGGAGACCCAGGTGATGGGATGCTCCCAACCGATCTTCTTTTTCCATTCCTTCAACAGGAAGCATCAAGAAGGATGAGGATGGCTCCTCTACTTTATCAACCCAGTCTGAGCAATGTATTTCCCCCAATGAAACCAAGACCATTACTATCAGCCTGAAACTGATTCTTGGGCCCTGAATCCAAAAAGCACTCGAGCATGTGCTTAAATCCATACCTATTCTGGATGCTTTTAAGCATGTAGACTTAAGCCTGAGTTTAAATATTTTCTTGAAGTCAGGCCTACATGATATCAATGTGAGACCTCTTTGTCATGATCATTTTCATTTGCAACTAAAAGAAATCTAACATAGTTTAAAAACAGTATTAACAGGATACCTGCCAGTAGAATAGTAACCAGCTAAGCTTTAAAAAAAGGTCAAACAGTCCTTGACATCATTAACTGAAAAGGCAAAACTGGAGATGAGCACAAGCCATAAGGTTCAGATCCAAACTTTGCCCAAACTTTACTCAGATCCCAGGTCTTGAGTTAGATCCATCTCAGTGTCTAACTACAAAGAAGATTCAAACCCAAATTAAATAGAATAATGGAATCATAGATAATGTAGGACTGGAAGGGACCTCTTTAGGTCACTTAGTCCAGTTATTTGTGCTGAGGCAGGCCTAAGTATTATCTAGATCATCCCTGACAGGTGTTTGTCAAAACTGTTCTTGAAAACATCCAGTGACGGAGAGTCCACAACCTTCCTAGGTAATTTGTTCCGGTGCCTAACTACCCTCACAGTTAGGAAGTTTTTCCTAATATCTAAATCTCTAAATATCTAAATCTCCTTTGCTGCAATTTAAGCCTATTACTTCTTGCCCTGACCTCATTTCATAAGGAGAACAATTTAAAGAACTTTCTAACAGAATAAGTACAAGTATACAATTTATAATAAACAGAGCGATAACATCCACTGGGAATCTGCTCATCGAAACAATTTCATACACATCATAATGAGAAGTATTGTAGGTTCCCCCCATTTATGCAATACCCTTTCAGTATATCAAAGTGCATTTAAACTCCATTCAGATTCAACAATAAAATTATCCAACTCTGCAGCAAACCAAACCTTGCATAAATGAGCTTCTGGAACTGAACCGAATTGTGATTCCATTCAATATTTAACTTAGTTTTGTTTTGCAGCTGCCTTTCACAGCAAATTAGCAGAAAAATCTAATTTCCATCTCTTCCAGTGCAAGGGATTTTAAATAGATGCTTTATCAGTTTATCAAAGACAAAATTTCCAAATGAAAGAATGGCAATTAATTTCAGAACTGACAATGTTGCTTGGAGTGCAGAAGACTGTCAAAATCTAGGAAATTATCTCTTTGAACTTCCTTACCAGCTTTTATGATTGTAATTAAAGTTTTTTTAATGGATATTCAACAGTATCACAGTGGTGGTGAGCTGGTTCGTGTTTCCAGAGTTATTTACCTGGTTTCTGAAGGACAGCTGTGATTTCAAACGTTGAAAAAACAAAAAAGCTGCCTCCAGCCTTTGAATCATAGAATCATAGAATATCAGTGTTGGAAGGGAGAGGTCATCTAGTCCAACCCCGTGCTCAAAGCAGGACCAATTCCGAACTAAATCATCCCAGCCTGACAAGCCTGACCTTAAAAACCTCCAACGAATGAGATTCCACCACCTCCCTAGGTAACCCATTCCAGTGCTTCATCACCCTCCTAGTGAAAAAGTTTTTCCTAATAATCAACCTAAACCTCCCCCACTGCAACTTGAGTCCTTTACTCCTTGTGCTGTCATCTGTTACCACTGAGAACAGTCTAGATCCATCCTCTTTGGAACCCCCTTTCAGGTAGTTGAAAGCAGCTATCAAATCCCCCCTCATTCTTCTCTTCTGCAGACTAAACAATCCCAGTTCCCTCAGCCTCTCCTCGTAAGTCATGGAATCCAGCCCCCTAATCATTTTTGTTGCCCTCCGCTGGACTCCCTCCAATTTGTCCACATCCCTTCTGTAGTGGGGAGACCAAAACTGGACACAGAACTCCAGATGAGGCCTCACCAATGTCGAATAGAGGGGAATGATCACATCCCTCGATCTGCTGGCAATGCCCCTATTTATACAGCCCAAAATGCTGTTAGCCTTCTTGGCAACAAGGGCACACTGTTGACGCATATCCAGCTTCTCGTCCACTGTAACCCCTAGGTCCTTTTCTGCAGAACTGCTGCCTAGCCATTCGGTCCCTAGTCTGTAACAGTGAATGGGATTCTTCCGTCCCAAGTGCAGGACTCTGCACTTGTCCTTGTTGAACCTCATCAGGTTTCTTTTGGCCCAATCCTCTAATTTGTCTAGGTCCCTCTGTATCCTATCCCTGCCCTCCGGCGTATCTACCACTCCTCCCAGTTTAGTGTCATCTGCAAACTTGCTGAGAGTGCAGTCCACACCATCCTCCAGATCATTAATGAAGATATTGAACAAAACCGGCCCCAGGCCCTTGGACCACTCCACTTGAAACCGGCTGCCAACTAGACATGGAGCCATTGATCACTACCCGTTGAGCCCGACGATCTAGCCAGCTTTCTATCCACCTTATAGTCCATTCATCCAGCCCATACTTCTTTAACTTGCCAGCAAGAATACTGTGGAAGACCATATCAAAAGCTTTGCTAAAGTCAAGGAATAACACATCCACTGCTTTCCCCTCATCCACAGACCCAGTTATCTCCTCATAGAAGGCAATTAGTTTAGTCAGGCATGACTTGCTCTTGGTGAATCCATGCTCACTGTTCCTGATCACTTTCCTCTCCTCTAAGTGCTTCAGAATTAATTCCTTGAGGACCTGCTCCATGATTTTTCCAGGGACTGAGGTGAGGCTGACTGGCCTGTAGTTCCCCGGATCCTCCTTCTTCCCTTTTTTAAAGATGGGCACTACATTAGCCTTTTTCCAGTCATCCGTGACCTCCCCCGATCGCCATGAGTTTTCAAAGATAATGGCCAATGGCTCTGCAATCACATCCGCCAACTCCTTTAGCACCCTCGGATGCAGTACATCCGGCCCCATGAACTTGTGCTCATCCAGTTTTTCTAAATAGTCCCAAACCACTTCTTTCTCCACAGAGGGCTGGTCACCTCCTCCCCATACTGTGCTGCCCAGTGCAGCAGTCTGGGAGCTGACCTTGTTTGTGAAGACAGAGGCAAAAAAAGCATTGAGTACATTAGCTTTTTCCACATCCTCTGTCACTAGTTGCCTCCCTCCTTCAGTAAGGGGCCCACACTTTCCTTGACTTTCTTCTTGTTGCTAACATACCTGAAGAAACCCTTCTTGTTACTCTTAACATCTCTTGCTAGCTGCAACTCCAAGTGTGATTTGGCCTTCCTGATTTCACTCCTGCATGCCTGAGCAATATTTTTATACTCCTCCCCGGCCATTTGTCCAATCTTCCACTTCTTGTAAGCTTCTTTTTTCCCCATTAAGATCAGCAAGGATTTCACTGTTAAGCCAAGCTGATCGCCTGCCATATTTACTATTCTTTCTACACATCGGGATGGTTTGTTCCTGCAACCTCAATAAGGATTCTTTAAAATACAGCCAGTTCTCCTGGACTCCTTTCCCCGTCATGTTATTCTCCCAGGAGATCCTGCCCATCTGTTCCCTGAGGGTGTCAAAGTCTGAACTGTATTGGAGCCAAGTCGGTTGCTACAGAAAAGCATGTGACATTTCATGTAGTATGATTGTACCAATAGAAACATTATTTCCATGATCTGTTTTCTACCAATAAGTTGAAAAAGTCTAGGGAGCAGATCCTCAGCTGCTGTAAATTGTCATAATAATTCAGTTGGAGTTAGGACAATGTGTATCAGCTGAGGATCTGCCCCTATGTTTCTTTTTGTCTGTGGAAATTCCTATGGGAGAAGACAGGCTCTATGGGAATTTTTCATGATCAGGATTGTTTGACAATGTATGCGTCTATAAACCAGCAGCCTAAGTATAATTATGTATTCGTATTACAGCAATGAGTAGTGCCCTCAACAGAGATCAAGGCCCCACTGTACTGAACACTGAACAAACCCATAGCAAGAGACAGCCCCTGCTCCAAAGATCTCAAAAGCTAAATAGACAAGAAAGACAAAGAAAACATTTTTATCCCCATTTTACAGATGGAAACTGAGACACAGAGACAAAAAGGGCCAGATTTACAGAGGTCTTTAGGTGCCTAATGATGCAGAAAGGTACCTAGTGGGGTTCACACAAGCATCTCAGCAGGGTAGGTGCCTCATGTCTAATGACATCAGTGGGAATTCAGCGGCTAACCTGCCCCAATTTAGGTGCTTTTGGAAACCCCCCTAAGTGCCTAGCTGCATCTTTAGCTGCCTAAATACTTTGTAAATCTGGCCCTGCCCAAGGTCACACTGGAAGTTGGTAGTACAGTTGGAGAACTGATTCCAGCTCTTCCTGAGTCCTAGACTGGTGTCCTAACCTCAAGACCATCCTTCCTTTTATAGGCCTGATATTAGTTCCACTTAAGTCAGTGGTTCTTGGATATCACTAAATAAATTAATACTCAGCATTTTTATAGCACCCTATGGGCCTGTTTCTCCTCTCACTTAAACCCCATTTGCATCAGTGTAACACCATTGGCTCCAGTGCAGTCACATCGGATTTGCATCAGGCCCAAAATCTTCAAAGAACTTCACTAATTTAAATGATTAACGCTCACAGCTCTCCTGCAGTGTAGTTATTATTATCTCTGGTTTACAATTGGTTAAGTAGCTTTTCTGAGACCACATAGCTAGTAATAGAATTCTGGGGAGTTTCTATCTCCTGTTCCTGTGCTTAGACAACTAGATAATGCTACATCTCATTCAAAGTGCACACACAACTTCAGCAAAAGGCTGAGTTCAGCTACCACCTCCTCAAAATTCCACTTATTGCTTAAGGTTGTACAATGCATATGCAGCAAATCAATGTTCATGAAGTTTGCTATGTCACAATAAACCTTGTAGTTCTTAATTGCAAATCTAACAATGCACCACACAAATATGCTTCCAGTCACGTAAAGTTTGGAGGAAGATAATGTTCCAGATGCTGATGCATATTAGATGTACAAATGCAGGAATTGAGTTTCAGTTCTTCAATCTAGGGGAAAACTTACTTGATATGGAAGAGTGACTACTTGTCTCTGGCACACCTGCTTCAAGTGTTGGAGCAGAAGATGATTCTCTTGGCATTTCCAGAGTTGAAAGTCCTTTAGCAGTGGGATCTGCAAATGGAAATGGTGCTTAAACTCTGAGTGCATTATTTAAAAATCAGAGAACATTTTTTCATCAGCTTCCTTCTCTGATTTGCCATTTTCACATCTTTTCAATGTTCCATTTGCCATCTGGCACCTCCAGTGGCTATACACATGTGGTGATGTTACAGGTGCACAGGAAATTGTTTCTAAATCACTTTTTAAAGGAGATTTGTGGATAAGCCTCTTGGAGACTATTCATATATAGTACATACTATAATGAATAAATGTACATAAAGCACCTGACTGATCTCAGTTACAAAGTGTACATCAGGGCTAACTTAATGGAAGTCAATGGAGTAACCCTGGTGTAAATCCAGTGTAAATGACAGAATGCCACAACTCTTGCAATATTTGGTATTATTCTTGAAGCCTCAGTTCCTAAAGTTATTTGATTGTGTGAGAATCTCCGCTTTCATTAAAAAAAAAAATTTACTGCCATCAGAGTTGCAGAGAAAAGCTTGAAAATATGCATCCTAAAGGTTAAAAAACTGGAAAAGAATCCCAAATATATGATTTTTTTTTTAAATCTCATGATTTTAAGATAATCTCATGATTTCTGACCAGCTGAAGTTATCAAAACTGGAAGAGACAAACCCAAAGTTTCTCCAGGCATTACTAGCTGTCTTGTGCAAGCACAAAATAACTAAGAAAATGTGAACTTATATATTATTATAAAAAAATCTCAAGCAGGAACCCATGGATTGCTCATTTGAAGAAACAGATCATCTGGATATTCCACTGGGAAACCAATTATGTCAGAATCCTTTCCAAAGATATTAAAGCATGCAAGTTTCAGCATTTTGCAATAGGTGCTTGAAACTGTAACCAGCAAATTACGATAACCACATCAACCCTACTTTCCTAAACTGTAATAAATGTATTCAAAAACTAGTAAACTGATCAGGATGATAAAAGAAACAAAGCCCTTAGATAATAAGATATGTAACTCATTCTGGTCACTACCAGCAACATGCAGCATTATAAACCAAGGTCATTTAATGGGACATTGTGAATGTTTTATGCGGCTGTATAATAATACACTCAGCAATGCATACTCATGTTGCTCTTCAGTGGCTAAATATTTTGACACTAGGCATGATGCTAACATCTCTGATGTGTGTCAGAGCTGTGACAACCATTCCAGTTCAACAGATGTTTGTGAATGTACGTGTGAAACCTGATTCTCATAGATTTGCAGGCCAGGCTCTAATGGTGAAAAAGGGGTTGAGTCTGAACAAACCCAGTTTTCCCGTGGACACCTCCCTTTGCAAACCTGTACAAAGGGTTTAGGATCAGTTGGTTCATTTTCACCTGGTTGCACTGGCTCTTTGGCTCACTGGAACCACAAGTGGGACAAGGCTTCAGCCCTGACAGAACACCGACACTGATCGCAGTTAAACACATTTACCCTTGCAAAACTGGAATCTAGTTATCACATCACCTATAACATAAAATAATGAGACTGTTCTCATTAATGGGGGGATGGAAGGGCAATTACAGGAGGTGGAGCTAGACATACTCAGAAACTAGGCTTCACTTCTCATGCAACAAGATAATTCTAGTCGTAGGGATATTTTACCTTTTAAACCTGTGATATCATTAATTATTGTGTGTGACCCCAACTGAGCAATAAGTCCTCAATAACTGAAAAATACTGATGGTACTAGGCCACTGCCTCCAAAGTCAGAGAGAAGAAGGGGCCACCATACATTTTTTTAAATTCTTTCTGGCTTTTCTAGTTGGATCAGAGCATATAACTTCTGTCTTGTGGAGAAACCAAATGAAAATACTTTGTGTTGAGATCAGTTCAATCAATCAGGGCTACAGCAGAAAGATCATGTGATCTCTCCCAATAAACTGGGGCTGAACTTGAAACATACCACAAATGATGGACTAATAAAGCTCATGGATATCCAGATACAGCAAAAACAAAAGTATTTCATGGGAACATTTTGTGAAGAACAAACTTCAAGCAAATCTCTACTGGTTTCAAAAGAGAGGCTGAACTCAAACCAAAGCTGACTTGGAATTAGATTCCAAAAGTCCTAGTCTATACAATCTTCTTGCTATCTATTGATTGCAGCCTGCAGAGGAAATAAGTTCTAAGAACAGCGAGTGAATGTTGTACAGATTACATTGATAGATTTTAAGGCAAGAAGAGACAATTGTGATCATCTAGTCCAACCTCCTGACACACGCCATAGAATTTCACCCACTAATTCCTATATCAAGCCCAACAACACTTGTGGTTGAACTAGAGCATCTCTTTTAGATATGCCATCACCCATACATGATACTTGTGTAGAGAGTACATTCCTAATTGATTCCAACACCTTTGACAGCAAATTCACTGAGAAGCAGACACTCTGGAAGGGTACATCTATATGAGATCAGTTCTGATATTTTATATCCTACTGTCTGGCATGTAAACAGGACTGAGTGATCAAACAGATACATTACTGAAAACTTAATAAGTAATAACAGCTTTTGGTTTGGTTTGTGGTTGTCCTCACCTGTCTCTTTCTGTTCCCCCAGCTTGTCTAGAACGTTGAAGGAAATGTCAAGGTATTCTCTCTGTATAGCACTCACAGCAATCTTTCTCTGTTTTCTCTGCCTGGGAACAATCTGAATCTTAAATTCTGACTCCTCAGCTTCTTCCTCCTGTTTCTGTTCTGTATCAGATTCTGTGTTGGCATCAAGCTTATCAGGTTCTGTTTGGTTTTCAGAGTCTTCAGGAACCTTAATAAGGACAGTTTTTACATTTGAACTTGGAACTGGTCCACAAGGTTTAATTTCTTCCACGCTAAGCTCAGAGTTATCATCAAGGGACATCTCAGGGAGTGCAAATGACTTTTGCAATAGGTCTCGCTTTTGCTTAAGTGTTAGTGGGCTCCCACAGGACACATCTTGAAGCTCCTCTGGCTTAGCTAACTCTTCAAAGTCTTTTTGATCTTTGGGAGCTGTGGAGGGGATTTCCTTTTTTCCTAATGAAACATTATTGCTAACATCCTTAGATGTAAAGTCTTTGGAGCAATCCTCAATGCTGAACTGCACGAGGCGGGTTGCACTGAGGCTGAGGGCAGAGGCACTGATGAGAGATGTGGGAGATGACACAGCAGTTTTGCCAGAGACACCATCGTTTAATTGGTTTGTTGTTTCTTCTTCTTCATCACTCTCCACTATTCTCAGGGGAGGAAGTGGTTCAAAGACTAGAGAGTCACTGTCTGAAGTGGAAAGGATTGAATGCTTGTCAGGCCCTGATGTTGAGTCAGAGGACAAATCTATCAGATCTAAATCCTCTTTAAGAACAGGAGGTTTCACTGGAGAATCCACTTTTACTTCATATGTTTCCATGCAGTTTAGCCTGACTTCTGGTATGACAGGTCTCCTTATTTCCCGGAAGCTTTCCATGACAGAAGGATTCTCTTGTGTCTCTGTATTTTCAGTCCTGGTAGAAGAATTCTGTCTAGGTCGTCCATAATCATTCTGTCTATGCATGGTGTAAGCAGCAGTGGTGGGTGGTTTATCTAAGTCACACCGGTCTATGCAGGACTTCCTACGATGTTCATCTAATGAAAACAACAGGGAGTCTGCATTCCCTATATCAAGAGATTTTTGTTTTAGAGAGCGCAGTTTTTTTTTCTGAATGCTTTCTTCTCTCACACAGTGTAGAATGCTGTCTTGTAACGCCCCAGTTTCTCTATATTCAGCCAGTTCTATTTCACCTGATTAAAACAGAAAAAGCTAGTACTATTTTACTTGGAGATTTTTGGCAGAAATCATGTCGTCATCTCATAGTTCGGCACACGACTGACATTTCAGATACAAACCCAGTGTTATGACAGTTAATCTTCAATCAAAATCATCTGAGATTTCTTTAATCTCAGAGTCACACTACAAAGAATTTTGCTACAGGCAACAAAAAAGCCACTGCCCAGATCACTTTACTCAGACCACTAGATTGTAAAAGCAAATTCTCAGCTTCCACCAAATGTGCCCTTGATAGGGTCTATTTGGTGCTATATATTGAATAAAAGATGGTATGGTGAAAAGGTTTTATTGGCATCCATTTGGGACGGCTGCATTACTTATGAGTGGTGAAGCCACGCCGTAGTTATGTGGGTCATCCCAAACATACATCAATATCACCTTTACCCCATACCGCCCTGTATTCAGTATATGGCATATATGTTAGAGGAAAACGTTTTTAGAAATATTTTATTTTGCTGTAGCACTGCTGTAGTACCAAGGAGCCCTGGTCATTGGTACTATAGATCATTCTGCCTTGGAAACCCAACGCCAAAAACAGAAGGAAAAATTACTCCAAATGTTCAGCCTAGAGATGGTCAGAAAAATAATTTTTTGCCACATAAAAAAGGGTCATTTAAAAACCAAAAAATTGAAAACTGAACATTTTTCAGGTTTGGGCAAACAATAACTGATTTTTTTAAGCAATGGAAACCAAAACATTTTCAACAACATTGGCATTATTTCCACAAAAATTTCCATTTCATCAAAAAGCCAACTTCTGTCAAAAGAGAAGCTTCAACTGAAAATTTCAAGCCAGTTTAGTCATTAGTAGAAGAGGAAAAATTTAGAAACTTCTCAAACTGACCTTTAAATAGTTTTTCTATATATTATAGTGTCACGTTTTAACAAGAAACGATTGATTTTGTGGCCCAACATAAGATGCCTTAAAGAGGCCTTATTTCTGGAAAGTACTGAGCACTCATTCTCTGAAAATCAAATTCCTACGAGTGTGTGAATGAGAATATTAAAATGATGCATAGTGACAAAGTATACATAAATTAAGGTTTTAGCATGACACAAGCAGCAGATTATCATATTTCTTCACAAATTAACTCTGATAAAAGAATTCATACTTCTCTGGGCATTCATCTCAACTGGTTGATATTTCACCATTTTGCTGCCACCAATTCTTTTCAGTCTTGCAAAGAATGTTTGCGACTCTTTACTGCAGGGTCCAGTTGGGGTTTCATGAATATCAGATTCATCAAAGACACTGTCTTCCTCTGCTTGGGAAAGAAAATCATTATTCTTCTTCAGAGACTGGTCTTGCACAAGAGACAGAGCCAAAGGACCAAATCCTCAGCTGCTACACATCAGTTTTTAAAGTAGAAAATTCAAAACATTCTATTGGCTTGTAAAGAAACACATATCACGGTAATACCATTCAAAAAACACTTTACAGCTTGAACGATTAAGGTCTGAAAAGTAAGGAATAGAATTTTTTTCTAAGCAATTAATGCTTCTTGTAGCATTCGCCATGCACAGTATACGGCGAGATCCTCAGCTGGCATAAATTACTGCAGCTCCATTGAAGTCAACAGACCTGTCACAACTAGTACAGTGAAGTACAGCAGAGATGTTGGGAGAGATGGTGGATGCTGGGCAAATGCATCCTCTGTATCAGGACTAGTGCTGACTGAGATAGGATTATTCCTATTGCTAGTCCTTTGAGCAGGAGCAAAATGTACCCCTGCCTAGCATTTGCTGATGATAGTGGCATATGCATTATTGGAGGCTAAATATGACTGTTAATCAGTAGACCACACACACACACACACACTAGTAAGCACAGGATGAGATTCATCCCTCAGTTTAATAATAATAATACTCTGTGCTAATATAGTAACAGTTTGTCCATATAAAGACCATTTCATTTGTGCATTGCAAAGCACTTCCCAAAAGTCTGGCAAAGTAGGTAAGTAGTATTCTCCCTACTTTACATAAGATGAAACTAAGATGAAGTGTGGTCCAAGGCCACACAGTGGGTCTAGGTCCATAGCAGAGACAAGATTAGAACTCAGGGTTTCTTCAATACTTACAAACTGCCCATTCTCCTAGACCACGATTCCACAAGTATCTAGACATCCCTTAAAGACGTCCTTTAGAATTACTAAATCTCAGCCCTCAAATTTGATTCCATTTTACAGGCTAGCATATTGCCAGTTCTCCCTATCACTATAGCTTACTTGTAGAGATCAAGGCAAAGACAAACAGATGGGGAAATTAGTCCAGAGTCATCTGAAGAAACAAAATATTCTGAGCCTGATTCTCAGTAACACTAAGGCCTTTGTGCTGCCCTAGAAGCATAAAGGTGTCTTAAAGTTGTTGTAAATATAAAATATATAATTCACAACCATTTGAGGGCCCCTTTACACTTGCAGAGTGGTGTAAGGTAGCCTTAGTGTAAATGAGAATTTTGGCCTCTCTTTGACAGACACGTTTATCATTCAACTTTTCAAAATGCCAAGCACTAAGCAACATGCAGCAAAGCAGAAAAGGTACTGACATAAATAAAATGACTGAGTGGGCAGAAAACTCATTCTAATTTTACTCATTTTGTCTTTTATCCTGCAGGTATAGTCTTTCACAAAAGTCTTAAGTAGATTTTAATCACAGTGAAACTGGATAAACTCTAGGTACCCAGCCCACACTCAGTAAAAGAAAGGTTTTAGAAACTGCGGGTAAATTTGCCCCTCTGTAAGTATTTTTCTCATGCAGGAAAAACAGATTGCTGCACACCAGGAAGAGTCTTTGTCAGGTAAGAAGGTAATAACACATTCCCTAAAAGCAGCTATGTTTTATCATCAATAGAACCCCTCTAAGAAATTATCAAATTGATTTATAATAATAAAATTTGCAATTGTATAGGTTCTTATCCAGGGATATCAAGCCACTTTTCCAAACACTAATGTTACACTCCATCACTGAAATGAATATTCATTTAGATTTTAGTGCACCAACAAGAAAATCAACTCCAAATATGCCCCTGTATTACTGTACCGATTTCATAACTGGTAAACTGAGGTGCAGAGAAATTAGCTCACCTGCTTAAAAGCAGACAGAAAAAGCTGGGAATAGAATCCAGGAATCTGACTCTCAGTCCTACCTCTATCTGCTAGATCACACTCCCTCATCACCCCTGGCTTAATTAATTAAATCAATGGCTAGTGCAGAAATTTAAATATTTAAAATACCTTTTTCCTTTTCACTGTATCGGCTTATGTTACTGTTGTCACTGTACAAAGGACCGGCTGTGGCATGTGGCTTGCAGCTGTGGTACTGGGCGTTGAGTGTGTTGACTGTTATGTAGATCAGATGCAACACAATCTTGCTGATGTCACAGTCTCTGTACGGATACTATTCAGTGAAATAAAAAGATTTTACCTTAAAAACTAACTTTTCCTCTTGATTTGTCTACAGTAGGCCCTTCCCTTGAATAAATATTTAGGTAATAATATAGAAATAGCCAAACATATTGTCTTCTGGTGGCCCTTGGCACACCTATGATCTTATGTTTCTAAATACATGCTAGAAAGCAGAAATATTCCTCCACTTTGTAAAGAATGCTTTATAAAAAGAAACTGGTTTATAGATAAAACATTTTGAAGAATTACCTATGAGGATACTTTAATATATGATTTCCTTGGTTTTTATATGATAAAGCAGCCTGTTAATGATACCTCAAGAGGTCTTACCAGATCTATTTGCAAAATATTTGCTATTTCACTGATTTCCAATTTCTCCATTTTCAGGCACGTCAAATCTAACCACCAGAATTGTGTTCTGTATGTCAAATTACTGTCAAAGCTTCAGATCTCAGCTCCAGTAGATACTTTACTGAAGTTATGTTCTTTACAACTCACATAAAAACATTATGTGAATTAAGAACTCCAGTTGGTAAATTGACACTATTAACTTAAAATGTAGTCAATTTTTTAAGTAACATCAGATATTACATCTGAGTCCACCTGCCAGTTTTGTGGTTTTACAACCCATTTTCCTGTATTCAAAAACATTTTTCTTGCTCAAGCTGTTAGGTGAAAAATCCACATCAACAATGGGGGAAACTGACTAGTTAGTTGACTATACAGGATGAACAGTGAAACTAATTTTACACAAATTGAAATTAAATACCCAAAGTAAACAAACTGAGAGAGAGAGAAAAATGTTTCCCTCTAATCCCTTTTGGTTTTAGTAGGCTTAGGCATCATTTGAAACAAAATTTAGAGTGAAATGTGAATGTTAAGATAACAGCACCACTTCAAGACAACAAACCTTGTAAAGGATGACAAGTAACGCCTTTAACCACATCTGCCGAATGTGAGGTTTGATGGACCAGAGGGAGCAACGGGGAGGCTGCTGGAAGTAATGTCTTAGTTGAGGACAAGTGCAATACTTCAGCACCTGAACCACTAATGGAAGGAGATGTTTTCCCAGGTTAATGTTATAGTCCATCACCTGAAATGAATATTCATTTAGATTTTAGTGCACCAACAAGAAAATCAGCTCCACTTACGTTAGCAATTGTCATACTACAACAGCAACTTAAATTCTGGGAAGGTGAAGGGAAATGAGGGCCTGCAGGGAGTTTCCACAATCACCTAGAAAGCTTTCAGGAAGTTTGCTATTTCGTTAGCTCTTTGCATGGTATCAGCATGATGAGTCATTTACTACAACACTGCCACTATTTTATTTATCATTTCAAAACAGACTATTGGCAACATTTTCAAACCTCCCCAATTAAGTTGCAGAGACAATATACGTATCAATGTCTGCTGTGGTTTCTAAATACCTTTTTCGTGTGTAGAAACTGAGGACGTGCATCAACACACGTGTGTTCACGCCTTACCTATAAAATGTAGCTCAGCGGATCAAATTCTGCCTTCAGTTACAATAATTTTTATCAACAGGTTTGCACAAGAGCAAATTAAGGCAAAAACTGGGCCTTTATGTCGTGTTATATTGTGAGGCAATGCAAAAAAAAATTGTTGGGGGGGCGGGCGGGATCAGTTAGCCAGGCAAATGGATTTTGAACTATAAAACAACTGAATGTTGCACATCTCTTGCTTAAATACCGTCCTAGTACTGAAGGATGCGAGCACATTTTACTCTTTTAATAGATTGTTCAATTAATACAACTTTACATTTATTGCATTGAAAGTCAATTCGCTCCTAACTGCCTGAATCACTTTTGAAAAAAGCATGTAAGCTCCTAAATCACTTACGCACTTTTGAAAATTTTCTCCAAGGCATAACTATGTTATAAACCATTTTCCAAACAAAAATGCTCAGTGATGTAAAATGGTTCATCCTGTAATGAGACCCTGTTTAGCTAGATGGGGAAAGTGTGTTAGCAAGAGGTGTGTTTAAAAACAGCTCTGGCTAGCACAGTCTGAACTGTAGTGTGCACAGGGCCTGCTCATATTACAAAATATATCATGCTCGGACACTCGTGTGTTATAACATAGTTTGATCATGGATGTACAAACAGGACCAAACAAACTTATACCCATGTTAGTTAACCAGCTACATTTTCCAACTCTCATGATCTTATCATGAGTCTTTTGATATTAGGTGTTATTCTTCAATTCCCAGGTCCCGGAGTCATGTGATCACCCGAGACTCTCATATCTCTTTGAGAAAGTAAGTTTCTAGCTCTCATAATTGCACAGAAAAGCTTGAAAATGTCATCTCTAAAGGTTCCACTATCAGGAGGCTAATAAAAATTATCCACATTTTTTTAATCTCATGATTTTTAAGTCAGTCAATCTCATGATTTTGTTGGCCTGACATAATTTTTAAATACTTTGGCTTAGCAATACCTAGGGTGACCAGACGTCCCGATTTTATCGGGACTGTCCCGATATTTGCTTGTTTGTCCCGCATCTCGACCGATGTTAGGTAGATACACTGGACAAACAAGCAAATGCTCCGGAGCCCAAAAGTGCTTGCATCCCCCATCCCCCGCCCCGACTCCACCCCCTCCTCCCCCCATTGGCTCCCTCCCCAAATCCCCGCCTCTTCCCCAGGCTCGCCATTCCTCCTCCCTCCACAAGCGCTGGAGGGAGGCCCCGGAGACACAGTGGGAGCACGGGGCCGGGGTGAGAGAGAGTCCGGCCATGCCTCTGCCCCGGGGCCGCCGCGGGATTGCACCAACTGGGAGGGGGTGGGGGGGTTGGGTTTTTTTTTTGCTCTGCCCCGATATTTGGGTGATCTGGTCACCCTAGCAATACCTCATATAAATGGGTGCACTAATCACCTCACTCACTCACAGACAGATAGACTATTTTCCAAATGTACTCACTGTTGGGGTTCACATTCATTTTTTGATTAAAGTAGCAAAGCCCTAAGACAGGACTGTATATACAAAACACAAGATTTAGCTCCCAAGCTCCTGCACAAGTGGATTGACTAGGCTTTTCTATGCAGAGTTTCCTGTTCCTGTCTCTCTCTTACTTTAGCATTTAACACTCCTTGAGTCGAGCTAATGAGACCCATCTTGTCTGTCTACCAACATACATAAACTGTCAGATGAATATATAGTGCATCTCCCCCGTATATGGTCCTAGAGCCTGACATCTGATTGCAACAAGGCTATAACATGGTTCTGTAACATGATTATACTAGGTTTTGACCAAATCATCCACACAGGTAAGACCAAACTGTGTTATAACGAGGTGTCGCAATACAGTACATTTTGTAATGCAGACAGGCCCTGAAGCCAATGGCACTTTTCTACACGTTATATTAAGATTTGGGAAGTCTAAAATTATATATCCTGACTATAGCTCAACCTTAGGACTTAAAGCACAGTTTTACCAAGTATTATCAAGGCCCATCTGTGCTATATTCTTTTCTCCAAAAAGAACTGTCCAACAGCACCACCTGGTGGGATAACATCAAAATGATTTTACCTTGCACAATCTTATCTCCGTGTTTGCTGCTAGGAATAAAAGATATCTCTCTATCTTACCAAAAATAGCAGAGCAGCAATATTAGGGTGTAAGGAGTTGAATATTAACAATAATCTTTGGAAATAATGTTTCCTTGAGCTAAACTTTCTAGGTTTAAGCTCACGGAAGTTAAAGCTAATAAACCAGCACATTCATCCAGTCCCACCATTTGCAGGACTGGCAATAGAAAGTAAATATTTATAAATTTTGTGTTATGTTAATGTTGTATTTTACAAAGTTCCCTCTTCTTGTGAGCAAATGCCAGTGCTGCAATAAAGAGTGTGGCTCTAACAGCCAAGGAGATTCCCTACACTACAGAATGCTCCCTTTTATCACAAGTAAAAAAAATCATAAAACGAATTCCAAATTAATATTTTCACACTAAAGACATGGAGTAAAATCCTGGCCCCATTAAAGTAAATGGCAAAGTTCCCATTGACTTCAGTGGATTCCAACCATGGATCTAAATTTTCAAAAATGAATAGTGCTTTTGTGAGTCCAACTTGAGACACCTTAAAGAGACCAGATTTTTAGAGAGTGGGTGTTCAGCACTTCTGAAAGTCAAGCCTTCAAAGGTGTCTCAAGTTGGGCACCCAAAAACTGAGGCAAGCACAATTATTAGTTACTTTGGAAAATTTAGGTTACGGTTCTACAGTCTAACTTCCACCTTCTGAACCTTCAAGCTAAACACAACACAATTGGCCTGAACCTCCTTTCATATACACCACTATATATCCACAGTAAGTGAGAGGTAAATCAGGAACAATACCCTGTGATTGCATCTTGATAGGTCTGGCATGCAGTTTGTACAAATGCCTCCTGATCTAACTGCCCACATGCACATATATGTACCTGATCTGCATGTACAAATGTCTGCATGTTTTGCCTGGAGCTGCATGTGAATTTCTGCAGATTCATCCATCGCACCCTGCTTTGGAAAAAATGGGTGCTTCCTCCAATGTGTATAACAAAAAAAGCAGATGAAAAACGTGATATTCTTGCATCTTTATTGGGCATTTTTAATGGTTTATGGTTATTTGAACTAGTGACCATTTTTCTCCCTTAAAGTTCACGTAAGAGGAAGTTTTAATAAGGAGTTACAGAGAAACATTGCAGCAATGAAAAGACTTTGTCATCAAAAGCAATAATGATACTCTGCAACCATGTAGCACCTTTCAGCCAAGTATCACTTTACTAATATGAGTTAATTAAGCCCTTGCGAGATAGGGAATTATTGTGGATTTCATTTTACAGATGAAGAAAGTAATGCACAGAGGAAAACTAACCTGCTCGGGGTTATATAGCAAGTCTATGGTGCAAATGGGCATAGAACCCATCAATTCTAACTTGCAGTCTCTGTCTTTAACCACTTTCCTTCCTTCTCCAAAGCAATAATAGCACTAGGAAAGGTACTTCATATGTCTGGACTGAGCTTTTGAAGGGTGAACAAGCAACACAGCCCTTCTCGCTCTCAAATTCATCCACTTATTACAATGAGAGCATATATCTAAAGGTATTACGGTTGTTTACCAAACACTCAACCAGCATTTTTAATACTGTAAAGAAGACTGCCTTGCAGACATTTCAGGAACCCCAGACAACGGTAGCTGGCTAGGGGAGGTATTTTGGTGCAGCTCATTGGATCACATATGCCCAGCGAGAATAAATCACACCTACTTGTGCTATTCCAGCGATAAATGCATTAAAACAAGTTGAAATGCGCATTTTCTGAGGCGCAATCATGAAGCATCCTTCCTGTTGATCATAGCCAAGCAAGACATACAGATGGCGCTTCACTGTGTTGAAGGCTTTAGCACTGCTGATATCTGACTCAGCACTACTCTCATCCTTTGCCATAAACTTCATTAGCACAGTAATCAGCTGGTGGACGGTCTGATGATCAATCCCAGCATCCTCTGGAAGCAGGTCCTTTATTGTATTGTCATTCTCTGGGGATGGTTGTCCTATCAGCACAAGAAAGACACTGATGAGAATGACTGCAGTGCAAGGCAATAAAGAATCAGGCCAGAGACATCTATCCAAGAGACTTGTTCCACTTCTGACCCTATATGCAGATGTTAAGTCAGTAGGAATTGTGCGTGCATTTTTGAGGGCAGTAATCTCCCCTCGCCTTTAGGTATACGAAATTAACTCCGTATTTTGTTGAAATCAAAAGCTTTTCAATTCCTCAAACATCCTCAGTGAACAGTCATACTGTATGTGACTGATTCTGATTTCCTTTCACACCAGTGTAACTCCACCACGTTCTGTGGCCTTACTCCTGGTTTACATTACTGTGAGCAAAAGAAGAAGAATATTTTATGGGTTAGAGCCTCAGTTGGTGTAATTCATCATAGCTCCATTGACTTCAATGGAACACAAGTTACTCCAGCTAAGGGTAATCCCAATAAAATTTTAGAGCAGTGGTGGGCAACCTGCGGCCCACGGGCCACACACGGCCCGTCAGGGTAATCCACTGGCGAGCCGCGAGACAATTTGTTTACATTGACCATCCGCAGGCACAGCCGCCCGCAGCTCCCAGTAGCTGGGAACATGTCCTTGCGGGCCCCACCACTTCCCGCAGCTCCCATTGGCTGGGAATGGCGAACCACAGCCACTGGGAGCTGCGCACAGCCGTGCCTGCGGATGGTCAGTGTAAACAAACTGTCTTGCAGCCTGCCAGTGGATTACCCTGACGGGCTACATGCGGCCCACGGGCCCCAAGTTGCCTACCACTGCTTTAGAGGATATGAGAGAGGGGAAATCCTGCATTTGATCAAAGAGATAATGAAGGATTTACCTTCTAACGTGCATAGTGCATACTTCTCTCCAGACACAGAAGAATAGTGGATTTACCTGATTAGATTGTGCTATTTTAGCTTTATCCAGGAAAACCACAGCTTCCAAAGGAATGCAGAGATCCTAACTATCATCTAATGCTGCTAAGTAAATCCCTAAAATCTACACAGAGTGCGTTAAAGGTATGCTGTCTGATAGTCTAAGCCAAATTGTTGCTTATACTGTTGTATACTATAGTATCATATCATATCATATATATAATGTTTTTCAAATGTTAAATATTTAGTACAAATATTCTCATGATTATTTTCCAGTGAAAGAAGTTGGATTTGAACATTTCCCTGCAGTGCATGCAACCCAAACAGTAATGCATGACAATATGAACAAGAGGGAAATTGACTAACTGAGCATCATTGTCCATTCTGAATGAATGCAAAAAAGGAAACAAGCAGCAAAAAGAACAAATAGTAAATCAGATTTATAACATTCTTTCCATTTTCATCATCTAAAACCTTTTCAGCAACATTTTTAGGTAAGGAATATTTTTAACCCTTATGATTTCTAAGTCAGGTGCATAGGTGCCGACTCCCTAGGAGCTCTAGGGCTGGAGCACCACGGGGAAAAAATGGTGGGTGCTAGGCACCCACCGGCCGCCCCCCTATCAACGCCTGCCCCTTCCCCCCCAACACCTCCCACCTGCTGGCAGCCCCACCAATCAGTGCTTCCCCCAGCACCTCCCACCCGTTGCGATCAGCTGTTCCGCGGCATGCAGGAGGCACTGGGGAAGGGGGAAGAAGCGAGAGCAAGGCACACTCTGGGAAAGGGTAGCAGCAGGGTGGGAAGGGGCGGGGGCAGGAAAAGGCGGGGTAGGGCTTTGTGGGAAGGGGTGGAGTGGAGTTGGGGCCTGAGGCAGAGCCAGCAAGGATCACCCCCCGACATATTAGAAAGTCGGCGCCTATGCATAGGTGCTCGACTTAGGTATGCAGGGGATGCTGCCGCACCTCCTGGCTTGAAGTGGTTTTCATCATATACAGGTTTAGTTTGGTTCAATGGCTCTCAGCACCCCCACTATACAAACTGTTCCAGCACCCCTGTTTTAACCTGTCAGTGCCCCTTTATCTGGCCCAGGAAATATCGTCCTCCATTTTACCATATGTATAAGCACGTCTTTATTACTGAGATCCTTCATACTAGAGATGAAGTATCAGAAGTACTGAGTACCTACAACTCCAGCTGAAGTCAACAGAATCTGCAGCTGCCCAGCACCTCTAAGAACGAGGGTCTTTTTACAAACAACAATATGTGAAGGTATAAAGCAGAAGTGTTGGTAGAGAATGCAATGTACTGTAATTCCAACACAATCTGTTTAAATATTGATTAAAATAAAGTACTTGCTGCATAATTCAAATTCCCATTCTTTTTTTTCCAGGTATGAATTAGGGCTTCAGCAGTGGCTCCTGTGGGACTGGGGCTGGGGATTGAGAGTAACCCCATCCTGCACTCACGTCAGGCAGTGGCAGCTCCTGTGTCCTGCAGGGCTGGGCCCAGCTCCAGGCTCCAAGCATTGTGACCTGGCACACAGGGTCTCAGCACCTCTCTCATTCTAATTTGGCCCCAGACCTGAGGAAGAGCACTGGGGAGCTCGAAAGTTTGTCTTTCGCACCAACAGAAGTTGGTCCAGTTAAAGATATTACCTCATCCACATTATGTCTCTCTCATCCTTGACCCCTTTTGGTCCTTTAGAATTCAATTGAGAGTGATAACCTTTCCAAACAATTCCACAGCAGAGATATAATTCTCTATTAAATTCTATTGAATACTTTCTCTAAAAAGGACATCAGTCTCATTCAGAAGATTTTAACAGTTTTTTCTTTAGCCCCCTACTGGTTTCATCTCTATTAAATTCTGTGCGACTTTTCCTTAACATAAAAAAAATGTTACTATGGAACTGAATGAGTCATTAATGTGGGTCTAAATCTATCCCAAAACTTCCACATACAATTAAATGAGTAATTAATCTGATAAAATTATCCTTTTTACTTTTGCTCACTGAGCTGTGTCTTTCAGAAACTTGAAGATAAGGAAATATTCAGTCTTGCAATGGGTATACAGTAGTGGCATGAGTTAATGGATACTTCCAAGGACTTTTTCTGAGCTTTCACTCTCCAGAATTAATATTATGCTCTCACAAGCATGCAAAATCTCATATCTGGTACTTCTCTCTGTTACTAGCATCCATTATGATGCCACTGTAAACTACACCAGGGAAAACAGAGGGGCAGGTCCTCAGTTGCTATAAATTATCATAGCTCCACTGAGGATCAGCCCCAGCATATGTTAGTTACATTGTCCTCCTCCTACTGGCTAGATGTGTGCTTCTTTAGCCATTATTATAGGGTAATTCATAAACAATGATTATTGGGGGATTTGAGTGGTATTTGGTCTGTTATTTGTTTTAAATGTGTAAGAGTCAACGGATCTAATTCAATATACAGATATTTCAATATTACCCAGCAGTATGTAACAGTTCTAAGGTATGTCAGATTTGGAGACTAATCTTCTTGCACACATACGAAATGGGAAATGGCGGTCTATGAAGGAGTACTGCAGAAAGGGATCTGGGGGTCATAGTGGATCACAAACTAAACATGAGTCAGCAGTGTAACACTGTCGCAAAAAAAGCAAACATCATTCTGGGATGTATTAGCAGGAGTGTTGTAAGCAAGACACAAGAAGTAATTCTTCTGCTCTACTCCGCTCTGATTAGGTCTCAACTGGAGTACTGTGTCCAGTTCTGGGCACCACATTTCAGGAAAGATGTGGACAAACTGGAGAAAGTCCAGAGAAGAGCAACAAAAATGATTAAAGGTCTAGAAAACATGACCTATGAGGGAAGAGTGAAAAAATTGGGTTAGTTTAGTCTGGAGAAGAGAAGACTGAGAGGGGACATGATAACAGTTTTTAAGTACATAAAAGGTTGTTACAAGGAGGAGGGAGAAAAATTGTTCTTCTTAAGCTCTGAGGATAGGACAAGAAGCAATGGGCTTAAATTGCAGCAAGGGAGGTTTAGCTTGGACATTAGGAAAAACTTCCTAACTGTCAGAGTGGTTAAGCACTGGAATAAATTGCCTAGGGAGGTGGTGGAATCTCCATCATTGGAGATTTTTTTAAGAGCAGGTTGGACAAACACCTGTCAGGGATGGTCCAGATAATACTTAGTCCTGCCTTGAGTGCAGGGACCTGAACTAGATGACCTTCCAGTTCTATGATTCTATTATTCTAATCTGAGTCCCTTTCACCCACAAATTACCTCATGACCTATCAAAATATACCATGCAACACCAAGCCATGATTAGACTGTGCCTCATGCTAAACATGATTTCTTTGTCTTTCAGTACATGCCACTCAGTGGAATTCCTGCCTTCTGTGACAAAGTGGGTTGGAATGCTGAACAGAGTTAATAATTAATAAGGGCCTGATCCTGTGTCCTTGATTCCCACAGAACCTCCACTGATTTCAACAGGAGTTTTGACTGAGTTGGGACTGCAGGTTTAAACCAAAAATGATGGAGTGGATGGGGGCAAGGATCAAATCTTTACTTCTACATTTTCTCAGTGTAAGAGAGAGGTGAGTTTTTTGATAGCAGATGTGCAGAAAGTATTTGGATCTGTATTGGTTCTTTGGAAAAAAATCAGTCAAGTTCAGTATCACTAATCGCAAGTATTCATGAGTCAGGCCTCCAAAAATCATGAGTTTTTTTAAAAATATAATAAACATTGGGCTCCTTTTGCCTGCAGGTTTCCAAGCCTTTGGAATGCATTCAGGTCATGATTTCAGGCTTTTCTTCACCATCAGGAGGGCTAGAAACGTCCACTTTTTTAAAACAAAAGCTGAGATTCTCACATAATCACCTGAATCCAGGAGTTGAGTCTTTAAGAATAAGATCAACTATCATGAGACTCATGACACAATCATGAGAGTTGGCAACACTGCAAGTTAGGTAATATGAGGCTGACACTTCCCATATCACAAGGGAATTGATCTTGGTAACCCTGATCTCTGCCAGGTGACTGGGGCCTGGGAATAAAGAATAGTCACTTCCAACACTCCTGTGTATCACACCTTTTATCAGATTATGACAAAGTGTAAAGGCTCTCTGGCATGTAAAGACTCACCTAGTCTCTGCCTGCCACATGATTGATCTGCACGGGGCTATGAAAGGAAGGGGGTGCTGGTTCAAAGGAGGCTAGCATCAAGCAAGGTTGTGCTCCTGCCCTTTCCAGGTCGCTGAAACTGGGAAGACCTTGCAGGTTATCACCCAGTAGTTTGAGTTGATTTGTTCTAGTTTTGAGCTCATATTTTTAGCAAATAAAGCTAGACCTGAAGAAAGGGACATGAAGAGACCCTGTAGTTGGGACTTTATTTTTCTGTCCCCTGACGGTGAGTCTGCACACTGATTTACACAGACCAGCAACCAATATTACTATTATTATTTATTGTGCAGTGACATTTAGGAGCCCCAGCCATCGAACAGGACTCCATTGTGCTAGGTACTGTACAAACCCTGAACAAAAGAACAGTCCCTGCCCCCAAGGAGTCTACAATAAGTATAAGACAAGAGACAATAAGTGGAGACAGACTGACAGACTAAGAGTATATAACTTGCAACAATTTGCAGGCCAAAATAATTCCTTCTTCTGGCACTCAACATTTTAAGAAAGAACCTTTTTGATAAGCTAGTGCCTAATGCAAATTATATCATGATCCAATAAAAGAGATCGCATTCCCTCCCTTCTTCCTGTATCCACTATACACCCCTCTCTTCAACAGAGGAAGTACCCACCTGGCGTTTGCTCTGGTGTTCCACCAAGTGCAGGAGCAGACTGCTCATGCCTGGTCAACCTCACAGCTAAAAACCAAGAATAACTCTGTTTAAATAAGCAATAGAGACAACTTAAACTTCAACATATGCTCAGCATTAAGCTGAGTTTGATCTAAGAGAATTCTCAAGTGTATGTGTTAATTGTTATCATGCAGTGAATGTAACATTTTAGAAGATTTATTTTTGTGGAGTTGTGATTTTATACTCTGTATCCCTTAACACTAGTTTCCTTTATTACTCAGTTTTTCTGGTCCAAGAGTCATTAAACAAGAAGGACTCATGCAGGATCCAGAATTAATCAATAAAAGTTACATAAGATTCAGAAGAAAACTATAAGCAAAATAATTTTGGTTTTAATTTTGTTCTCTACTAATTTTAGAGGAAAAAATTCTATTTAATCTTAGCAGTTGATTGGCACCGATGACTCGGGTTAATTTTAACAAGTATTATATTATACGGGTTGGGGGGTATTAAGTGTTGCTGAAGTATCTTTTAAGTACAGGACTAATTAATATTTGTAAAGTCCCCTAAAAATGAAAAATAGTAGATTTAATTATCGTTTTTCCTATAGCATATTAACAATATTCTAGTCATTGATATTTTTGCAGCACATGCAGCCCAGAGGATTTTGAGAATCAATTTCCTCGTATGTAAGATGGTTATAAAAATGTTTTGTATGCACATTATTATACTACTAAGGGAAATCTGCAAATATAGAATGGTTGCAGCAAAGAATTTCTTGTTGTTTGAAAAGTGCCAAGCACATGTATAGTACTGTATAAATTGACAAAAACATATTAATTAATAATAATCAGCAATAACTGAATCACTTTCCAAAAGCTACCTCTAGTTCTTGTCCAAGTAGCCAATACATTAGCCAGCTTACGCAGGTTAAAAACTATCTACAAACTTGTTTCAGGGCACTTCATTCTATCAATAAAACAAGTATAGCACAAAACGGGAATGTTGTCCATGTTATTTGCAAAACTCACTGACTTCTAACTACCAGAATAATGTTTGAGTCAGTCTCTAACCCAGATATGCTAAACTGTCCCCACTGGATGAATACTGAAAGTCCCATTGTGTACTCAGCAACAGGATGCAATCTTAAGGGAGAAGGTGCAGGCTTATCTCAAAAATATAAATGGATACTCAACGGATTTTGGTGGTTAAGGTTTCTGGAAGAGAGAGTGCTCTCTTTGATTCCCCAGGTCCCTTCACGCTGTCCCTCAGGGAACGCACGCTCTTCTGACGATTACGTGCAAAACGAGCCCTCTTGATCTTCCACATTGCTGTATCACTGAGGTTGGCGACATTTGTCCGGACAGCAGTGATAGCTTTACAAATGCAATCAACCAAGTTAGGATTCATTCCACTGCATATTTACTGCAATCCTGAAAAGTCTCACATGCAGGCAGACCCCGAGCCCCACTGAAGTCAACAAGCCTTTATATGGACGCCGGGGCTGCCGCCACCGCAGCTACAGCTACCATGGGGCTCTGGCGGTGATTTAAAGGTCCCAGGTTTCCCAGCTGCCACTACAGCAGCCGGAGCCCAGGGCCCTTTAAATTGCCACCAGAGCCTCAGAGTAGCGGCAGCAATTTAAAGGGCCCAGGCATTTAAAGGCCCAACCCCTTCCTCCTGAGCCCTCCCCCACGCTCAGGACCCCAGCCCTGCGTACCGATAAGTCCCTTAAGTTACTTTCAGCCCTCCCAGTACACTTCAATTAGCTTTAATGGAGTATTGATGATCTGGGCACATGAGACATTGAAGCCCTTTGATTTTTACAGTAATTAGAGATCCAAAAGCAGATAATCAAATCCCCTAAACCCCTTATGGTTATGTTTGGAAAGCCAAGAAGCAAAGGGGCAAAAGGTGGACATCTGCAGCATAGTTATATATTAAATGCTCCCAAATATTTTTCACTTTAAGTTACTGATTGATTTGTAATTTTTACAATAAATCATGTAAAAATAATCATACAAAGACAAGTGCAATTATTATTTTATCTTAGCCCATTGGAGGATGGAAAAAGACAGGATCTCCCTGGGTACCTTAACAGGAAGCCAGGTATGTGCAGTACCTCTGTTAACAAATGTCTGTTACAGACACTATGGGAATTATTAACTGTTGTATGAGCCCCAAATACCGGTCATGTAATATCACCGTTGCCATTCATCCATTTGTATCTTTTGGACTGTATGGCTTCTGGGCCAGGGATTGTCTCTTTAACTATCTTTATACAGGACCCAGCAGAATGAGGCCTAAACATGACTGGGGCCTTTGGGAATAATAATAAATGAAATAAATAATAATAATAATAATAATAATAAATTAATTATTAATTATTATTAAGAGGGCAAACTATAAACCCGTCTATGGTGGGGTCAAGAATAATGTTTGGGGGAACTGGTTCTAAAGAACATTCAGGCTAACTCAGTTTGACCTTGACTATTCACAGAACCAAATCATGTTTCAACAAAGTCTGAGAACTATGTTTTAACTAAAGCAGAACATGGTGTTTAAAAACCTTTAAATATAGTGTATCCTAATCTGGTCTAGGAATGTTTACACTGGGTTATCCACGTCTAGTTTTAAATGACTACATCAGTTCAGCAAACCTGGTTAAAGCCCCACTGCAGATGGGGCCTTCACTTCTCTCCTCTAGTTCAGGGAGCTGAATTCCAGCAGTGGTGAAAGATAATGCGTTTCTGATTCTGCTTACTTGTTGGAAAAGGGAATTCTTTGTTGCAGTCCAGATGAAGCTGTGCTTCCAGAGAGAGTGTCTCAAAGCGATTCACAAAGAACTCCCAGCTCAAAGCCGGAATGTCCTGCTTTAGAAAATGAAGGAGCAAAAGCTTGCTGAGAATTGTGGGTCTGTCTTTGACAACTGTATCAAACTGGAAATCAAGGCAGAGGCACAGACCCTGTGGAGGAAAAAAAGAACAGAACTCAGATGGAAAGAGTATTATTTTAAAGAACACTTGTTAGAGAGGCAAACCTCTCAACTTCTCTAATCAGCTGGTAGAGAAGAAGGGCCTGTTTCTGGTCTCTCACACATGTCAGTTGGGAATAACTACTGAAACTGATGGAAAACCAATGTAAGTGAGGGAAGAATTAGGCCCTCGTCGTTTTGAATGGGGGATTTTCCATTTTAATTTTTAAAAATATGTAAGTATAGGGCAAAATTTTACCCAATTACATGCGACACACAAAATTCTCCCTGATCATACCCTGCTGCTCCATTGGTTTCAGTGAAGTTATACCAGTGTATTGGCCCCAAGTCATTTTAAAGTGGAGGAAGCAACCCAGAGTTCTGACAAGCAAAGAATATAGGAATCAATGCAGTGCATCTAGAAACAGTTTCAAACCCAAACCCTGCCGTTACTATGACATACCTATCAGGCAGAAGGACACTGCGGGTATTAGCAATGCAGATGTGCATACCATGCAAAACCCTTTGCCTCAGAATTCTTGGGCCAAATTCTGCTTTCATTTTTGTTCATGCAAACCCATTGCTTTCAAGGAGTCTTCAAAACCAAAGGGGGGTTCTGGGAATTTGGCCATTTATTTCCAGCAGAACCATAAAAGTAGCATTGGGGCTAGAGCATGTACCATATTCTGATAAAATAAAATGAATGGAAGCTAATGGAAAGGACTTCGCTTGCTAACAGGAATTCAAGGAGTTCGATACAGTTCATGAAGAGTGGAGACTATTGAAGCATGTACCACTAGAAACGTATGTTACCTCCCATTAATTCAATCAATGAAACATGATGGGAATTTAGCAGCAATTCTACTGGTTCAACTGTTTTAAGTAATCAAAAATGTTATGTTTTAATAAATACATAGATCAAAAGTATAGGTTTGATCTTGACCTTCTAGTGTACCCAAAATTCCCATTGATTTCAGTAGGAGTTTTAGGTAGGCAGGCTCAGGCCCCAAATGAGAAAGATATATTACATGGTTAAAAGTATCAAAGGCACACAAATGCTGCTGTGTTTTATTAGCACAAGAATGTTGAGCTTGGTGTCAACATTCATGTTTGAAAAAGACAACAGGAATTAAATATTTAACAAGTGCAGCATATGTGGGACAAGCCTGTCTTCCTCAAAAAGAAGAACCTTTGGCCAGACCACAAAGAAAAATCTGGCTTAGGCAGTTATTTGTAGCCTTTGGCATATGCAATCAATTTGTCAAAGCACTAGGGACACATCTGAAAAGATTTAGACAGAACTGGAGCTGTGCAACTCCGACCGTCTTCAGCAGAATCCACATTCCCTGAGCTGTGCTTTGAAAATCTGCCCCATATATCGTATAAAATAGCAAACTTATGAACTGCATTTTATGGGCAACTGTACTGGAATTATTACTTAAATACCTTTTTTGTTCTATCTACCAGAAATAATTTATACCAGATATTGCACTAAACTTTATAATGAGATTTTTTTCCATCTTGCTTATAAATGTAGGTCCTGATCCTGCAAAGATTTATATATATGCTTAATTTTAAGCACATGAGTAGTCCAATCAGGGGGTCTTCTCATATGCTTAAAGGTAAACATGTGTATAAATCTTTCAAAGATCAAGGCAATAGGTAGCTTTGTTTTCATAAATTTTCTGCTATCCGTTTACCTGTGAGTAAGGCCGTTCATGTACAGGGGGTTTTTTTGTTTAAAAATTCCTAGGAATTTATCAGTGTTTACTACAAAAATGGGTGAAAATCAGTGCAAAAAATTAACTTCTCCATTTTCTGGTAAATATTGGGGGACAGGAGGACAGAAAAAACAACATATAGAGAAAAGTAAAAATACGGAGTTTAATGCTGTGGTTTATTTCATAAAATGTACATTAACAGTTCGTACACATATACACATGTGCATGTGTGTATCTTCCACTACTTTGCCTTACTTTAACAGACAACCTCGCAATTACACTTAGACTAATTTATTATTAACATAAATGCATTTACCTCATATAATGTATTAGATTTCCTTAATATAAACAGTATTTTCCTGTACATGATTGGTCCAAACTTAGGGTGAAAACCAATAAAAACTGAATAATAGCTTTTGTAAAACCTGGGAATTTTTCAGTAAAAAAAAAAAAAAAAAAAAAAAAAATCAGTAAAAACTGAAAATGAAGGGCCTTACTTGTGAGTCAGTAGATTTTTG